GATGCTCTAGTTTTAGGGTAAAGCTAAGCATGCACTTCTATTTATTCGTGTACAGGTAGATGGTCCCCACCCTAAAATGGATTGACTTACCATTTTTTGACTTTATGATGGTGCAAAAGCAATATGCATTCACTAGAAATCATACTTCGAATTTTGATCTTTTCCTGGGCTAGTGGTATGTGGTACTACACTCTTCTTGTGATGCTGGGCAATGACAGAGATCCACGGCTCCCAGTCAGCCACATGAGCATGCAAGTAAATAACCAATAAACTTATAACTATTCTGTACCCATACAACCATTCTCTTTTTAAATTTCAGTCTTCAGTAAATTACATGGGACATTCAACACTATTATAAAATAGGCTTTGTGTTTTTGCCCAACTGCAGGCTAACATAAGCATTCTGAGTACATTTAAGGTGGGCTAGGCTAAGCTATGATGTTTGGTAGGTTGAGTGTATTAAATGCATTTTTGACTTATATTTTCAAGTTAGGATGGGTTGATTGGGACATATCCCCATCTAAAACCAAGGAAAATCTGTATTATTGTATACAAAAATGTGGATTATTTCAGTAACACTTATCTCAATGCTGATTTAGATTTCTCTGAAATAATTTGTCCTTTCTTTTTTCCACGAAGTTTTTCTGTGAACTTCACTTAAACCTAACAGGAAAGAATTGCTCATACTATCTTGAATTTGTATAACCAAAGGCCTATTATTTCAGAATAGTTTTCAGGTTTTACTTGGCCCATGTGAAATGCCCCCAGGTGATAGGTGCATCTCTGGTATTTTTATATTGTTTAATATTTTTATAAAACATTTTTCTCTCTCTAATTGGAGTAACATTGCATTTGAATAGTTTCATACACTAAAATCTGTGGAATGGAAAAAAACATTTAAAGATTTTATTTATTCATTTGACAGAGAGTGCTGGGAGAGTGGCAGGCAGAGAGGGAGAAGTAGGCTCCCCACAGAGCAGGGGGAGCCCGATGTGGGACTAAATCCCAGGACCCTGGGATCATGACCTGAGCCGAAGGCAGTCACTTAACCAACCGAGCCACCCAGGCACCCCATTTTTGTTACTCTTTTGGTGTGAATGTTTTAGCTATGTGAGCATTTCAGAAAATTAAAAATAAAATTATTAGGGTCCCACAGTTGACACTTAGTCATTAAAAGAGTTTTTTTTTTTTTTTTTTAAGATTTTATTTGAGAGCGAGCGAGCACAGAGGCGAGTGAAAGGGAGAAACAGACTCCCTGCTGTGCAGGGACCCCGATGCGGGACTCAATCCCAGGACCCCGGGATCATGACCTGAGCCGAAGGCAGATGCTTAATGACTGAGCCACCCAGGCACCCCTAGTCACTTAAGAATTAAAAGGAGTGGGGTGCCTGGGTAGCTCAGACAGTTAAGTGTCCGACTCTTGGTATCAGCTCAGGTCTCGATCTCAGGGTGGTGAGTTCAAGCCCTGTGAGGCTCCACGCTGGGCATGGAACCTACTTTAAAAAAAAAAAAGTAATAATCTGATGGAGAATTTTGATATTGTTTATATGCTCATGAAAATAGGTGCCTAAGTCATTTTATATGTATATATTCATATATAATGCCTATTTTATATATTTATATAAAACATTTGTAATTATATAAATTTTAATTATATACATTTGCATATGGGTATATAATTTGAATATATAACTACACGATTCATAATTAAATATATAGTATAAGGCACATGATGTAAATATGTCAACATTTAAGTATAATTCAACTATAAAATAGAAATGTTTACAATTTAAATACTGATGATCATGGTGGCTTGTAGATTTTCCAAATGTTGTCAGAATCTTTGTTGCTATATTGTCTCTTGTCCCTCTAGCCCCATTGGGAGAGAAATTTAGTCTAAAAGGCTCATCCTCCATTATGTCCTATTTCTTAACAACTCCAGAGAGACTTATCAATGGCTTTTGAACATGTATAGGACTTCTTCCATCATAAGAAAAGTTTACTTGATTCTGCTGCCCTTCTGCACTTTTATTTTCCTAGTTCAGTGATTTCAGAGTTTTTGAAGACATATCCTGCTTTCTGCTTTTTACCTATTTCCTTAATTTCTTACTTCTGTGCTACCTGAACTATATGCTTGAAGATCACCTGTAATTTCTTACTAAACACAGGTGGCCTTGGCTCATCCTTTATCTTGATCTCTGCAAGTATTTAATGGTTTTGACAGCCCCATCCTCCAAATTCCGCCTTCATTGACCTTTAAGACATTTTTTACTTCTCTGAGTTTCCTGGTGCCTTGAGCAATATCCTAAATTCCACCCCCTCCCTTTTTTTTGTCTTCTTTGGCTTTTGTGATAATCAGGGTTTTCTCTCTTAATGCCTAGTGAGAACTTTTGGTGTGTGTGTGTCCCCTCTCCACTCCTGCCCTGCAATGCAACATGTCCAGATTTACCTCCAACCCAAAATGCATCTTCCCTTATTTTCTGTGCCTTATTGAAACTGTTTTATGATATGATTCAGGAGCTAACCATTCAACATCCAGTGCTTACTGATTTTCAGTGAATTTCCTTAAGACTTTAGTAATCTTTTGCCTCTTTTGAGGGGCTGATATCTTCTCAAATTACATACCTCTATGCAATAGTTACTTTGTCCCATACTATTCTTTGACACATCTTTTAATAAGTAGGCATTGTGTGTGGTAAAGACTTTACAAATACTCCTTGTAAATAATAATTGAATTGTCTTTCCTTTTAGATTCTTCTTTAGAACTCTTCCTTCTCATCCACAATTTGGATAGCCAAATGTTGAGAGGAGACAAAAGCCAGCAAATTATTGGACAATTGTCATCTTTACATAACATATATCTTATAGCATCTATCGATCACCTCAATGCTCCTCTCAGTAAGTATTGCCATTTTTCTTTCTCAGGATACCAGTTTTAAAAAATGTCTTAATGGTGTAAATTGCAACATTTTTATTGTTTCTCAGTACACTTTTTTTTTGTTGCATGCATAAAGTAACAGATTGCTAAAAATAAAAGTGTCCTCAGTCTGATTCAGAACATTTCTTGGAAATAAAAATTCAGATTGTAAAGGGGGTGTTTTATACCTGAAGTTTCATGAAAGAGAAGAAACTCAACTATTATTTTGGTCTTTTTCCACTTTGTGGTATTGCAATATTTATGTTATGCATTTAATTCCGAGACTTTGTGATAATCCCTATGCCTTGGTAGCACTTATTTAAACTGTATTTAATATACAAATATTCAGATTTTGATTGACAATTAGATTGTGAGGTACTGATATGGATGGGGAAATGGCAAAAATGAAAAATTTTCAGGATTCATTTTTTTAACACTTTCTTTCCTAGAGTGGAATCTAGTAACACCACAATATGACAATAATTAGTAACTCCTATTTTCTTTAATCATATGCTATAGTGTGGGATCATGCAAAGCAGAGTCTTTATAACTGGCTCTGGTATGAAACTACTACATATAGTCCTTATACTGAAGAAACCTCCTATGAGAATTCTCTTCTGGTTAAACAATCTGGATCATTACCACTTAGTTCCCTAACTCATGTCTTACGAAGCCTTACCCCTAATGCAAGGTAAGAATGAAAACTAGTTTCTTTTTTAAAAAACTCTACATTTAATGATATTCATGAGTAGCTTTTAATGGCAATTCTAAAGTCTCTACTTAAGTTTGCAGGATTAAGAGAAAGAGTAAAAAAGAGTTGCCAGTACTGGGTTATGCAGTAGCCAGACTCCTTAACAATAGTGTCAGCATTTTTTTTTTCTTAATTTTTATATTTCTAAATAAGAGCATCTCAAGATATAGTGGTCATCGTGGAGGAAAAATAATTTTGATGAATTTTACTTAAATCTGATGGTTTAATTATATATTGAACACTGTGATATAAACATGGAGCCCTTTACATGAAATAACTCCTTTGATCCTCACAACCTCTAAGGTAGATAGCAAAAGGCACAGAGATTTTGATCCAAATCTGCCTGGCTCCCAAACTCTTGCTTTTAAACATCTCTGTGTAATCTCACCAGTGAAGCCCTTTCAGCAGCCTCACCAAGAGGCATATCTGAATTAATAAAAGCTAAGAAAAGCTGGATACAGCATAAACTGGCAAAACATAAAGGGCACAATAATTAACCTGTTGAAAAAGGCTTTGAGTAGCAGATTCCTCCCGCCAAAGCACAGAATTCTAGAACAAATTTTTTTTTTTAAGATTTTATTTATTTGACAGAGAGAGACACAGTGAGAGAGGGAACACAAGCAGGGGGAGCAGGAGAGGGAGAAGCAGGCTTCCCGCAGAGCAGGGAGCCTGATGTGGGGCTTGATCCCATGACCCTGGGATCATGACCTGAGCCGAAGGCAGACGCATAACGACTGAGCCACCCAGGCGTCCCTCTAGAACAATTTTTAACAAGATGAAATGTTTAAAAACAAAAAGCCCTGTTGAGAATAATTAAAACTTGAAAGATGAAGAAAAATACTGTGTTCTTGGATGAGTGGACTGAATATTATAAAGGTAGCAGCTCCTCCTAAGTTAGGATGTGTTAGACCTATAAATTAATCCAGACATTGATGATTTTTCTTGTTTTAAATTTGACACAAAATGCAGTTTCTTAAAGAAGGTGAGACTAGCAAAGTCTTTTTCTCCCAAGAGCAATGGCACTTCTAGTTAAGATGGTACAATAATTTTCACACTTTAATGATGAATTTTGTTACTCTATAAAGCTGCTTTGTATACCTTAAGATTAGCATTGCATTAATATTGAAATGTGCATTAAATGACTAATCAAAGTTTCTATGGATTTGCAACAGAAAAAGTCTCATTCAGTCTTACTGTGCTTACTGTTAATGGACTAATGCAAGTTGCTGTGTATAGAGTTGGGAATCTATGCAACATAAGTACTCTCAACATTAAAGATGACTCTGAGTGCTCTAAAGCAAGTAATTTTTAGTTTGGCATACCCTAAGTGTCTAACTGCAATTTTGTTTCATTCTGTGAACTCCAATATTGTTTAGTCTTTATTTGGTATGAATGTGATCAAAAACTTTAACCAACTTTTAGCTGTGGAGTCACTGGCAGTATCTAGTTATAATGTGGCCATTCAGATGATCCAAATAAGCTTATAGTGCTTATTTTTTAGATTGTCTAAAAAATGTAAATGTAAAGGTTTAAAGTTTTTGCCACACCAAAGGACTCCTGGAAATCTTAGTGTGGGTGACATGCTTTCAGCCCTATAATCCACTTTATATACTTCTGTAGAAATTGATATGAAAGAATATGTACAATTTAGTGTGGAGGTATTTTTAACAAAATTGGAAGTAATATAAACATCCAAAATGAGTAGGGCAGTGGTAAGTTTGTGGTACATGATAGGTGGGCAGTCATTTCTAGGAAGACTTTTTAATGATATGGGAAGATGAGTAAGTGAAAAGGTGAGATGTAAAATGGTGTATACTATATATAAATGCATGAATTTGTTTCCACCTTGCGTCACTGACAAAGATTTGTAAAGGCAGCACACAGAAATGATCTCCACATCAAATGTTAGTGGCTGTTATGTTAGGGTTATGGCATTAATATTTTCCTCTGTACATTTTATTATATATTCCACATTTTCTAACTTGAACAACCTGTAGCCTTAAAAAAAAACTCCTAGATTTTCCTTAAAAGGAAAGGCCAGGATAGGATGTTTCCCGGAGAAAGGAACAGAAGAAAATACATACGATTTAAACCAAGTATTTTACATTATCTTTGTCTATTTTACTGTTATCTTTTGATGTTAACGTTCTGGATTTGAATTCCTGTTTTGTTTTTCTCCTTAGGGGGATTTTCAGGCTACTGATAAAGTATCAGCTGGATAACCAGGATAACCCTTCTTACCTTGGTATTTATGATATTAGATTGTGTGTGACTTTTTGTTTCAGCCCATAAATTCCTTTTCTGGAATCTAGTAATAGCGCTGCAGCGTTTCACAGGGGCAGGTACATGGTTTGCTCCGGGATCAGTTTGTCTGCCACGTGGCACGTTTTCAAGAAGCCCTGCAGAGACGCTGTTTGCCAGTGCACACCGACAGACACGTCTGGCCTGGTTTACATTTCCTATGGTAACTGTGGATATGTGTCTACCAATCACATACACTTCATATGCTGGGCATCTTAGCAGCTTTTCTTCCCCTTAGGTAAAAATGTGTTAATTTAGACAAATATTTTAATAATCGTGCAGCTCTCTTGACTTACTCGTTCCTTCTTCGAAAGTCAGCTCTATTCATGCTGCTGAAAGCTGCCCACAACATTTGTTTCACTTGGTCACAGATGACTGCTTTCAACCAGTCAGTTCCCTTTAAAATGTAAGCCACAGCGTATAATACTTAAGTGTTCTCTAGTTTCGCTTCTTCCAGAGGTACCTTTTTTTTTTTAATCAGTACTGACTGTTCTGACATACTATGGCAACAGCTTGTGTTCTTTGGTATGGGCACCCACATGTAGGGTCATGTCTTAAATGCTGACTTATGTTCACATCTCCTTTTGAACTCTCTAGGATTTTCTTTTCAAGATTTTTACCAACAGTGTCGAGAGGCATTCCTGGTCAATAGTGATCTGACACTTCGGGCCCAGTTAACTGAATTTAGGGACCACAAGCTTCTAAGGACAAAGAAGGTGAGAGTTTTGCTATTACAGCATTATATGCTAGGATTACCTTATCTCTTGTTTACTTAAGGACAAGTATGCCTTTGACTCAACTTTGATAATAAAATGCAGGTTCCATGATGGGCCACAAGGATCCGTTTAGGCGGTGTGCCATTTGAGTTCTGTAGAAAGAGATAAAGTAGAAGTACTCAGCTTCAGAGCAGAGAACTTAGAAGAGTTCTAGTCCAGAGTAATAGGCCATTAGAAATAGGAGTCAGATAATTCTATTCCTTTTTCCCCTTCTTCTTTCTACCACATTCGTTAATTGGGTCTATATGGAGCACTAAGTATTAGGATATAGTAGTAAGCAAAAGCCTAACTCCTTTCTGATAGAGCTTAAAGTCTAATGGAGGAGATGGACATTTGTCAGTCACACACACGTAAAGCTTTAACTGTGGTGTCCTATGATCAGAAAGACACATGGTTCTGAAAGACGTCAGAGTCACATCAGACCACTGAGCTGAGATCTAGAGGGAAACTAGGAGATAACTGGTCAGAGAGAAAAACTGAAAGGCCAGTGTGCCCCAAGACGAGGCTGAAAAGACAATGACGTAAGGACTAGCCCACACACTACTTTTAGGCCAAGGAAAGGATTTTAATCTTCATTTGAAAATTAAGGGAAGTCATTAAAAAAATTGTTCTGACGCTGGTACGGAGAATGGAATGGGGCAGGGTGGGGTAGGGATTGCTAAATGTCAGTGCACAGAGATCAGATAGGGAGGTGTGTTAGTAGTCATAGTAGTAGTAGAGCTGATGGTAACTTGACTAGGATGAAGAGTGAAAAGTGGTTGGAGTTCAGATACACTTGGGAGGCCAAACTGACAAGAACTGATAGATTGGATATGAGCAATCAAGAATGACTTCTGGTGTCTGGCTTGCATAACCAGAGAAATGGTGAGATCACTGGATGAGAAACATTTTTGAGGAGACAGATCATGAGTTCCTGATTGTAGTATGTTTGGACTTACTCTGAGGTTCTTTTGAGATTTCCAAATGGAGATGTCAACTAGGCAACTGGGTTTCCTAGGGAAAAAAAACAGAGGAAAGATCTGAGCTGGAGACAGATTAATCCCTGTGTATTTAGGTTGTAACGGAAACCAGGCATCGGGGGGAGAGAGATTAGAAGGCCAGGAACTAAGCCTAGAAGTCTGACATTTTATGGCCAAGTAGAAGATAAACGTGTAGAGGCAGGAGAAACAGCCAGATAGCCAGAAAGAAAACCGGAATATGATGTCATAGAAAGCAGTGTCAGGTTCTGCTAAGAGACCAAAAAGATGAAAACTGAAAATATGTACTGGATTCAGGAGTAAGGAATTCCTCAGTGGTCCAAACAGAAGGTCTTTTAATGACATGGTAATGGTGGTAGTAGCTAGGTTGCACTGGGTCGAGTGAAAGGTGAGGAAACGGAAACCAGTAATTATTGACAACTCTTCTGGAAAGGTACAGAGCTTGGGTGATAGAAATGAGAATTTAGTGAGGGTTATTTAAAAAGGGCAGCACAGAGCATGTGACTGTTGATCTCAGGGTTGTGAATTCCAGCCCGCGTTGGGTGTAGAGATTACTTTTTACATTTTTTTTTTTTTTTAAAGATTTTATTAGAGAGCATGAACAGGGGGAAGGACAGAGGCAGAGGGACAAGCAGACTTCCCACTGGGCGGGGAGCTCAGGACCCTGGGATCACAACCTGAGCAGAAGGCAGATGCTTAACCAACTGAGCCACCCAGGAACCCCTGGAGATTACTTTTTTAAAGGGGGGAGTGTAAGGGGGGGATGGAGATACCTGGTTAAAAGAACAGAGAAATCAGTAGGGTAAGATTCTAGAAAGAGCAGGAGGGTAAAGAGATCTACTCACCCTCTAGTCTTCTTTTCTACTATGAAGTGGTTTAACTATAAACTCAGTGTATTTAAATAGATAAGCCTACGTACCCTTTTGCCTTAGTCTTTACATTTCTGTATTTATATAAAATAATAAATCCTTTTTTTTTTGTTTAACCTACAACAGGGTTCACCTATATCGCTTTACAAATCACTAATGTCCAGGGTATTCTCACTTCTTTTAGGGAACTGATGGAGTGGAGTATCTGTTAATTCCTGTGGACAATGGAACACTGAGTGATTTCCTGGAAAAGGAAGAAGAGGAGTCTTGAAGTTGTCCTTTACTCTTGAATCTTTTGTGGAAGGAAGGGTTGTACCCCAGCTGCCACTCCTCTAGTCTAAAGTGTTGTGTTTACATCTAACATTAGACTCTTCCAGTGTACAAGACTTAAAGATGGGAGGGGAGGAATGTCATCAGTTAGAACCTTGATTAGCCTGGCTGGTTGGTGTACCATCTCCAGTACTATGCAGCGGTCCTCAAGTTGGAGAAAACGTGCCTTTCATTCATTACCTCTCTGGAGACTTCTTGCTGGAATGAACAGTGTGCTCAGGGACTATTTGGAGCTGGATGTTTTTGAATTTTTTTATACTGGAGATGATATTCCTAATTTTTTGAGGGCCTTTTAAACACTCCCAGAGCTGACTGTTGGCAAATGTGTTTGTTCCAGAGCATGGAAGTACAAAAACAGTGACATCACATAAATCTACTTTATTTGCTGTTCTGTCAGAGCTGACGAGTGTAAAGAAGGCAGATCATCTGCCTGTTCTTAAACGGCTTAAAAAAGGTGTGTAAGACTGGGGAACAGTAGGTGATCTAGCTTTCTCCTTTTGGATTCAGACTCCATTCTGGTGGGGTGGGGGAAGAGGGAGTGACCCTCTTCAGTTGGGATAGTGGGAAAAGCATAATGAGCATATAGGGTGTATACCCACCTTAGAAAGCACAGGAACAATAATCAGGATACGCGGAGCAGCCAACATCTGCGCCATCACCTTCATGACACAAGTAAGAAGCCAGGCTACAGAAACACAGTCCCGAATTACATTTTAGGCATTGTTTTCAAGACAACAGAAAAGAAAATGTAATTATTTTTGCATTGACATTTTTCTTCAGTGACTTACGAGTAGCATATTAATGGCTGATTTTAATCTTGACTTCTCTATCAAGTAGACCCAAAACTCACTGTAAGACATTTCAGTTTTTTTCTTAAAGTAACAATTTCAAGCCCTCTAAATACTTACATGAACCTTTTTCCTTAGGAAAGAGAAAAAGGCTAACTTTGGCCACTGGTCAGCTTATAGTCTTCACATACTCTCTAAAATATTTCATACTTGGAAATGAAATTTTTCAATAAAATATCATTGTAATAAGTGAGAACTGCTGATGCGGTACATTATCTTGTAAAGCCCTTTCATGAAACTGTTTCCCAAAATGCTCAGAATTTAAGTCTTTTCTCTTTGTGGCATATAATTTGTTAAATCCATGGATGAGGGCTTAGTCATATATAATCAAAATATTTAAAAAAACTAGTACATGAATTTGATTCTAAAAATTTTTGTTCCCAAAGGATATTCAATAAAAAGTGAGTTTCCTTCCCCTTCACCGATCCAGTCCCTTATGCAACCAGTGATAGTTTATTCCTCCAGAGGTATTCTATGCACACGGAAGGGTATGTGTCCGTATCTCCTTTTAAAAACACAAATGGTAGCATATGATACGTGCTCGTTTGCACCTTGCTTTTTTTTTTTGCTTAATATATCTAGTTTATAACTTGTAGTATAAAAAGTATATAAAATCTTTAATGACCTAATATGCAAATTTTGCATTTGCCCTTAAATATCTACTGGTTTATTTTTATAATTTTTGTGTCCATACTACTTGCAAGCAGTATGTGTCAACAGTCTATTAATAAATAAAAAGCCAATTTGGATAGAATCACTTTTTTATAGTACTGGTTTTTTACTAAATTCAAAAATTCAAAAATTTTATAAGTGCATCTTACAGATCTGAAGATCTGTAATTCTGCTAATTATTCTACACTCTTCGTCAACTTGTTTCAGTATCAATGTTCCTTATTCCCTTACCAGTTAAGAGCTTGACTGCTAAGGCCCCCAACTTCTGTTACTTGCTTCTGACAAGAGTGGAACAGACCTGAAAACCTTGAAAGATTTTTCTGGCTGCTCTTAATAAAATGGCCAAATCGGGGCGCCTGGGTGGCTCACTCGTTAAGCATCTGCCTTCAGCTCAGGTCATGATCTCGGTTCCTGGGATCGAGCCCTGCATCAGGCTCCTGCTCAACGGGGAGCCTGCTTCTCCCTCTGCCTGCCGTTCCCCCTGCCTCTGCTCTCTCTGACGAATAAATAAAATCTTAAAAATAAATTAAATGGCCAAATAAACAGGCCCAAAAAAGGCACAGAGGACGTCGAACAGGCATTCTTGCACTCTACAAAAGTTGGACATAACACTGCATTCCTGATGCAGAGAGTGCTAAATCAGTTCTTGTGATACTCTAGAAACTGATTTTCTCAGCATGTTTGTCATTTTAATACATGAACATTCATATAAAAGATGAGTGAGTTTAGGGAATGGTTAATAGATTTTGCTTATCTTTTTTTTAAAAAACTTACTTTAGAAGTCTACTTTTTTTCCCTCTAATTCACTGTGGAGCCAGCAGCATTGTTCAGAATGTTTATTCTAGGAGGTGAGAAGACTCTTCCAGCTTAGTCCTGAGTAACCATGAGAGATGAGAAAGTCAGGAGGGTCTGCCTTATCAGACCATGTGGCTCCTGAAACTGAGGAATAAAAAAAGTGTTACGCAAATGACTTTGTTCTTGGGCTTTCTGCAATTACTTGACTTCTCCCTTAGGAGAGTCTCCTACATTTTGGGATTTCAAATTGCTGTCAGAACCTTTTCATTCATGTTTGTTGAACACTTCCTACACAGAAGGCTCTGTGCTAGATAGAGGAGTTGTAAGGAATATGAAGGAAGAAATATTATGGGGTGTTAATAGCACTGAAAGTTCCAGTATTCTTAACATGTTGAAAAGAAGTTTGAAATAACTGATGCTATGGAAAAGAGAACTTTAAATGTGAGGTTAACAGAAAACTCCTTAGCACATTCTGTAACAATCTGGGCATACAGCAGCACACTTCGGCCTTGCACCCGCCCACACACTCAGATCGCTTCACTTGTGCTGCCTCACATGTGGTCCTTGAAATGGCAGCAGCCGCAGCAGCTTTCCCTCGGGAACACACAAGTGCTGAGGCCCTACTCGGGCATCTGAATCAGTCTGCATTTTTTAAACTACACCTCCATACATTCTACTGCACACTGAGTTTGAAAAGCAATGAGATATACAACTAAACAATCAACACCTTAAAGTTACCAGTTCAGAAAATTTGACAAGTGAAAATAAAGAATTCATCTTTGGTGATACTTTATTTTTAAAAAACTACAGAGGACATATTTGGGGGTATTTTTACTTAGAAACGCTAGCATGCCAGTAGAGAAACTTTAAAAATTGTAGTAACAATGGCATTCTTCAACAACAAAAAAAAACAATTTAGCAATAAGCATGTCCAATCATAAACAAATTCTTTGATCCATTAAATCCCTTCGAAACTCTAACAAAAGGAATTTAATCCACAACCTTCAGGATGAGTAACTGTTAAAGGTGAAATCATGTCCTACCTTCAGTGTGCCACAAAGGAAAAAAAGGTTTTAAGCATCACTGCCCCCAAGCTATTTCTTAAGCATCATCTCTGACCATTATCATTCCTGCCTCCTGCTTTCTGCCCGGACAATAACGGATGACTTACTTGGGCTTTTTCAGTGCACTACCTACCGCTGGTTCAAGCTGTGCCTCTTGACTGAACTCCACCCCCTTGCCCCAGGAAACCTTCCCTGCAAGCCCTCTGCGTATCTTTACCATAGGGAATTACCATAAACCCTGAAGTACCATCCAAACTTCCGTCCTGTTCTCCCCACATCGCCATGGGCCCGGCACAAAGAACACAAACAATGACTGAGGCAAACGCCACTAAGAGTCTCTCAAAGCTGTCTGCTCTCCCACTGGCTCGACTTTGATGTCGACCTTTCCCCATCGAAGTTTTCTCCTTGGCTTCTGATGCTTTGCGGATTCTCCACCCACCTCCTCTCCTGGCTCCTCCTCCAACCCTCGAATTGGGGGCATTTCTTAAGGCTCGGTCTTATTGGTTATTTCTGTGGTGAATCAACAATATTACAGGTGAACCACCAAGAATAATTTTTAAGTTAGGATCCCAAATCCTCCAGGAGATGACTGGTAGGATAAGGGTCCTACAAAAGAAAGAAAATGCTTTCCTTTCTCATCTTAGACGGTATTTTAAAAGACTCGCTTTTGTCATTACCAAAGGAAAAATCTCAGCAGAGAAACTGGAAATATATATAGAAGAATTCGAAAGAAAAAACTCCCATACTACCCAGAGAAAATCCCAGCTAAAATGGATTTTTTTCCTTCAGGATTTCTTACAAACCTCCTGTATCAGGTTTCTCGTCAATGTTCATTAAGAAGTAGTTAAGAACACAGACTTCTCGTCAATGTTCATTAAGAAGTAGTTAAGAACACAGACTTCTGAGTTAAGAACACAGCCTGGGTGGCTCAGTTGGTTAAGCAACTGCCTTCGGCTCAGGTCATGATCCTGGAGTCCCAGGATCGAGTCCTGCATCGGGCTCCCTGCTCAGCGGGGAGTCTGCTTCTCCCTCTGACCCTCCCCCCTCTCATGCTCGCTCTCTCAAACAAATAAATAAAATCTTTAAAAAAAAAAAAAAAAAAGAACACAGACTTCTGGAGCCAGACTACCTGAGTTTGTGTCCAAACTCCCATCATTTCCTAGCCATGTGGCCTTGGGCAAACTACTTAACCTGTTTCAGTTTACTCATCTGTAAAATGGAAATCATAATACCTATATTCTTGTTTCTCAAGATTGAAAGTGTTTATAACATACCTGAGAATGCCTAGCACAAAGTTAATATTGTATGATAACTGGGATTATTCTAAAAGCTAACCATTTTTATATTACTAAGAAAATTCCATGGGTGTTACACGCAAACAATGAATCATGGAACACTACATCAAAAACTAATGATGTAATGTATGGTGATTAACATAACAATAAAAATATTACTAATAAAATTCCAGGTGAGTTACCTAAAAAGCAATAAAACAATAGTCATGAATAATGATCATCTATATTAAAAAAAAAAACATAAAACCTCATCCTGATTCTGAAATTTAGGTGAAAGATTAGTGATCTGAGAATGGGAACATAGAGATAGACATTATCACCCCCTAGAGGGGTGATACCTAGAAATAAGTGTTCCAATCTCAAGTTTTTTAAAGTATATTTTTAAACTAACCAAGGGCAGAGAGATCTAGAACGACACATCCCATCTATAAGTAAGCTAAGGAGAAGACTGCTTGAGCAACTTACCCAGAATGTTAAGTAAACAGATTTCAGTGGATCTCGCCTGTAGTTTATAATGAATATATGCTTTACATTGTATAATCATCTTAATTCATCTTATAATGAATACTTGTTCTTGAATGGTAGTTATGTTATGGTTTTTACCATATGAGCTACAGAACATTTGGTGAAGCAGATTTACAAACCAGAAATAATGTACATTCTAAGACATTCTTCCAGGAGGATTCTAACTCCACTGATTCACGTTATACATTCAAGTTGGGAGGCAATCAATTTGCAGACTGTCATCCTGTTATTTATGCTATATATGCTTTATACCACATGAAGAGGGTCCCTGTCTGTCTCTGACAGGATAATATTAATCTTATTCTCCAAGTGAGCACCCAGCATATCTCGAAGATCAGAAAGAAAGCCTCGTTCAGTGTTGCTATGTTCACAGAGGATGACGTTTATTCCTTGGGACACAGCATCCAGAACATCATGATGGGACATCTCACCTGCCAACAAAGGAAAGAGCAAACACTTAAATATTAGACATGGAGTCTGTAGAATGCTGAACCATAAGTCAGGTACAGGTTTTCTTACATGTCCTCCAACTTATTTATTATTTATTTATTTATTTATTTATTTTTTAAAAGATTTTATTTGACAGAGAGAGACACAGCGAGAGAGGGAACACAAGCTCCAGAGAGTGAGAGAGGGAGAAGCAGGCCTCCCACCAAGCAGGGAGCCCAATGTGGGGCTCGAACCCAGGACCCTGGGATCATGACCTGTGCCGAAGGCAGACACTCAACAACTGAGCCACCCAGGCGCCCCTACATGTCCTCCAATTTAGAAAGAGACCATCCCACTGAGAATTCCAAATTCTTTCTCCTTGGCCTGCTCAAGACAAGTATCTAAAGCCGCATATGCAACAGTTTCTAACACTGCCAGAACCAGACCCATAAGGACACCCATTCCAAATGTTTCCATTAGGGGCGCTTGGGGGGCTCACTGGTTAAACTTCTCTCTTAATCTCAGTTCACCTCTTGATCTCAGGGTTATGAATTTGAACCCTGCCTTGGGCTCCATGCTGGGCCTGGAGCCTACTTTAAAAAAAAAAACAAAAAACACAAAATGTTTCCATTATAAAATAAGTGACCACTGTTAAGTAAACTGGGGCTTTCAGAAAACTCTCTCGTATAAATATTACATAACAAATACCTCCAGAAAATCCTAGGTATACTTTCCAAAGACTCCTTTATGCTTTGTGAACACCAAAATTTTCAGTATAAACTCTAGTCTAATTCATAAAGATGAAATGAGTTTAAGGTTATTTCTAAAAGACAAGCTAAAAAAATAAAAATAAAAACAGGGCATTTATTTTCCTTTGACTTCGGCAAAATTTCCAGAAATTCTGAAGTTACTGGCAGAAGAGGATCTCATCTTTTATAAAAAGATTTTGGGAAAACTCAAGTGTTTTGAATTTTTAAAAACCCCATTTGTGAATCTGATGACTTCAAATTTAACAGCAAAAAGACACTGCACAATTTGGCTTGTTCATAACAGGCATAATTTTGAAATATGTTTAGAGTCCTAAAATTTAGCATTAAAAAAATAAGAAAAAAAGGTTTTTTCTCCCTGAGAAATTTTCAACCCCCCACACTTCCCCCTGCTCCCCAACATATGAAATTTCATAATATGGGATAGTTTTTATTCAAGCACCTTTTAAAATGTCTTTTTTTTTTTTTAGGATTTTATTTACTTATTTATTTTAGAGAACGCACGAGCAGAGGGGCAGAGGGGGAGAGAGACTCTCAAGCAGACTGCCTGCGGAGCGTGGTGCCCAGCCTCCCGACCCTGAGATCATGACCAGAGCTGAAACTGAGAGTCGGATGTTTGACCGACTGAGCCACCCAGGCGCACCCAAAATATCTTAATCTGTAATAGTGAAATATCTTAATCTGTAATAGAAAAAAGACCCTAACGGGCTCAAGTTAGAAGGCATGCTTCAGGAGAGACAAGTTCAGTGGCCTAGACGGTTAGAAATGCTCTAAGGAGAAGGTGTGAAAGTGGAGGAGTCTGCAAAGACTCTGCAATAATAGCTGAATAATAGTTGAATAAAAGCTAAAAGGGAAGCAAGGCCTAGCTCAGGATGGTAGCTGTGGGAAAGAAAGAGCAAATGAGAGAGAATTTATATTTGTAAGGAGCAAGCACCCCATCTGCTGGTCCTTCCACAATATTGCCCTTAATGACCTGATACTACCATGTTCCGCTCAAGGGAAGGGTGACGGACATCAGCACAGGCCTGTGTGTGGTCTCTGAGCTGGGTACTTTTCATCCCTAAAGTTATAACTCAAAGTGATACCTCAGAGATCACAGACAACCAAGGTCAGCCAGATAAGACACTTTGTATTTCCCCAAGTAACCAGATAGGAAGGCTATTTTAACAATTTTGAATTGCATTAATTTATCTTTGCACATATTGCTTAATAGTTAAAAAAAAAAAAACCCTAGTTTTAAGAAAGTCATTATTTATGAAAAAACAATCACATGCTCCAAACTGAGAGATATGCCACAAAACAAATGGTCTATACTCTTCAAAAATGACAGTGCTCTGGACAAAGATGCATTCTAGATGCAGTGACCATGGAGGGACTAGATACCAATCAGAAAAAGAAATGATACAATTCTGATCAATTGGCAAAATTTAAATATAGACTACATATTAAATAGGTGTTTTAACAATATTAAATTCCTGTATTTCATCACTGTGCGTGGTCATATAATGTCTTCATCCTTAGGAGACATATACTGATGTATTTAGGGATAAGATAAAAGGTCATGTATACAATTTATTACAAAATGGTTTTGGGGGAAACACATAAACAGAAATATATTTATACACACACCCATAAATATTTATACACACATATATATGTGACACAGAATGTGCAAATGTAGCAAAATATAACCATCAGTAATCTTTATTACTCATTTATTTTTTTAAGTAGCTCCATGCTCAGTGTGGAGCCCAATATAGGGCTTGAACTCACGACCCTGAGATCAAGACCTGAGCCGAGATCAAGTCAGACATTTAACCGATTAAGCCACCCAGGTGCCCCATAACCATTAGTAATCTTAAGTGAAGGGCATACAAAAGTTCATTGTACTATCCTTGCAACTTTTCCCCAAGTCTGAAATTTTTTCAAAGTAAAATGCTGTAATTATATATATATATATATATATTTTTTTTTTTAAAGATTTTATTTATTTATTTGACAGAGAGAGACACAGCGAGAGAGGGAACACAAGCAGGGGGAGTGGGAGAGGGAGAAGCAGGCTTCCCGCAGAGCAGGGAACCTGATGAGGGTCTTAATCCCAGGACCCTAGGATCATGACATGAGCTGAAGGCAGATGCTTAACGACTGAGCCACCCAGGCGCCCCTTACATTTTTTTAAGATTTATTTATTTAACAGTGAGAGAGAAAGAGAGAGCAAGGAGAAGAGCAGAGGGAGAGGGAGACAAGCAGACTCCCTGCTGAGCAAGGAGCCTGATGCGGGACCCGATCCCACAACCGTTAAGATCATGACCCGAGCTGAAACTTTAAGAGTTAGACGCTTAACCAACTGAGCCACCCAGGTGCCCCTACAGTTAATTTTAAAATAGTCATGGGGAGCCTGGGTGGCTCAGCCGGCTGAGCATCCGACTCTTGGTTTCAGCTCAGGTCATGATCTCAGGGTTGTGGGATCGGGCCCCAGGTCAGTCTCTATGCTCAGCAGGGAGTCAGCTTGAAGATTCTCTCCTCTACCCCTCCCCTGCTCGCTTTTGCTCTCTAAAATAAGTATTTAAAAAATTAAAACAATAAATACTAAAATTAGTCATATAATGCTATAAGATAGTCTGTCAAATTGCTTATGCATTGAAAGCTTTTTCCTTTTTTTTTTTTTTTAAAGATTTTATTTATTTATTTGACAGAGAGACACAGCGAGAGAGGGAACACAAGCAGGGGGAGCGGGAGAGGGAGAAGCAGGCTTCCCACTGAGCAGGGAGCCCGATGCAGGGCTCAATCCCAGGACCCCGAGACCATGACCTGAGCCGAAGGCAGACACTTAACAACTAAGCCACTCAGGCTCCCCTGAAAGTTTACTTCAATCTGGTACAAGTTGGAGGGCTTATAAAAATTATAACATCTTTAGAAGAATAGAAAACGGGTAACGGTTGTGTATATTTTTAATAAGTTCAGAGCAATTACATCAGGCTTGCTCAGATGCTGCACCTCTATACTTCTGGATGTGACAATGTTAAGTTCAGCAGCCTCTGAAGGAGGGTGTGCTAGATAATAAGGGGCACGGACATGGGGGGCAGGAGAGGAGTAATAATGCAGAGGCTTAGGAAGTAGCCATGGGAATGGCCAGGGGGTTAAGACCCTGGATTCTGGTCCTAGAAGTCAAAAAGGTAATTTTTTTTTAAACATCTTGTTTTTAAGTAATCTCTGTACCCAACGTGGGGCTCAAACTTACAACCCCAAGACCAAGAGTTACACACTTTACTGACTGAGCCAGCCAGGTACCCTGGAAAAAGTAATTAACTCCCTCTCTCCTAACCCTAAGAAGGAACAGAGTTGGAAATGTAGCTGGTATCAGCAAGTGTATCAAGTGCCTCCAAATCCTTTGAACAAGAGGCCATGTTACCTATTAGATGTTAGCCTCTAGGACAGAATGTCAAGCCTGGGTGCCAAACAATTACTGTCCAAAAGAAATGTATCCTAGAGGTGAAGGACAAAGTGACAGGGATTGGAGAGGAAGGCATGCCATCAGGGCAGGAGCCAGACAGTGACGGGAAAAGCTTCTCTGAGGAGGTATCCGAGTTTATCGCTACAAATATAAAGGAAGGGGCCAGAAAGGCGTTCCGGCTGGAGAAAACGGCATAAGCAGAGGCTGCATCGAAGAGGACGGACGTTCAGGCTCGCCCAAGACACAGAAAGGAAATCGCTGAAGGCTTTGTAGCTAGGGTAATACTACAGCCCATTAAATCTGTACTTGTGAACAACAGTTAATTTGGGGGGCGTATGTGGAAGACTAAGATTAGGGACTTACCAAAGTATTTCAGGTAGGAGATGACGCCTGAGCAGAGACAAGAGGAAAGGCTCTGTGAAGATTCTGGAGCTAGAACTGACAGGAACTAATGACTGGCTCTAAGGGTTGAGTAAGAACCATTTTCTGGCTAAGGTGGAAAGGTAGAAAGTGTCCCAGGAAAAGAAATCATGTGTAGGAAGAAGACAGGTAAAATAAATGCTCAACATCAGTCTTTTAGATAATCTAATAATAAACTGCTAAATGATTTTTTTTCCCCTCTACAAAGAATATGATCTGTCTCCAATTTCAGTGTGGTTCCTGTTTAGTTCAGGTTCAAACAACAGTTATCAGATCCATTTATATACCAAGTGCTGTCCTAAAATCTATTTTTTATCTTGTAAAACATAAACCAAGGTTGGGAAAGGATACACACAAAAAAAGAAAAGGAGACCCAAAGGCTGTCCTACCTGTGAGGTGAAGGTCGGCCTGCACCCCCTGCAGCACCGTGCTCCCAGAACCAGCGCAGAGGGCCACAACTTTGACTGGAGACTCTTCACGATAAAAGAAACAAGAAGACCAATACTTTACAATTGCCCTTCATTTTAGCATTATAATTTGTGTCAAGAATCCATGTAATACAGATTTCAGTCTGGTCTCATCACCAGTACATCAACTTTGCTTACTGAATTTTAAAAAATAACAAAACATGTCTTCATAGAAACAAGCAGATTATTCTTTGGTATTGCATAAATAACCCAACACAGGGCTGTTATTTCTTCAGATGTATGTGGCTGCACAAGTCCACGGAAGGTACCACTGAACAGTGCTAACTGCGCAGCTCTAGGCTTTATCCCTGCTGCTAGGTAAAGTGACCTCTCCTGGGTTTCCATGCAACAGTGAAAGGTAGGCAGGTACTATCTCTGTTCTCAGGTGAGGAACCAAAACAGCTAGTTAAAGAAATGCTACAAGCTGATTTGACATATATTTTAAAATATATTTACTCTAAAAGAACAACCTCTGAAGAGTTGAAGAGCAAAATAACAAACTTTGAAGCCCAAATCCAACAAGTATTTAGCCCTTAAGGCTTCTAGAATGGACACTTCATTAGTGGTCACTACATTAGAGGTATTTTGAAGATTTATTCATTTGAGAGAGAGAGTGTGTGCAAGTGTGACCAGGGTTGGGGCGGAGGGAGAGAGAATCCTCAAGCAGACTCCCCACTGAGCGTGGAGCCTGATGCAGGGCTTGATCCCAGGACCCTGAGATCACGACCTGAGCCAAAATCTAGAGTCAGACACTTAACTGACTGAGCCACCCAGGCACCCCCTGGGGTATTTTAAAAGAGGGGCTCTCTGCATGGAGAGCCCCGGGATCCCCAGCCCTGTACCACTTCAGCTACAGCTATCCTGCCAGGGTGCCCCTGCATAAAGCACCTTGGGACCTCCCCAGCCCACTCCCCACCTCTGCTCCAGCTGCCCCACTAAGGCACCCCCTGCACAGAGCACCCTGGGACACTCGGCTTACACCCACTTCAGCTTCAGTTATCCCGCCAGGATGCCCTCTACACTGAGAGCCAAGGGACACACCCCCCCGGTGTGTACCCACTTCAGCTTCAGCTGTCCTACCAGGGCATTCTCTGAGAGCCTCAGGACCATCCTGGTCCATGCCCACTTTAGCTCCTGCCATCCCACTCGGATAGCCCCAGCACAGAGTACCCTGGGACTCCCAGATCATGCCAGACACCGTCCAGCCAGCCAGCCAGCCAGCCAAAGTCACCGGGCACATACAGCCTACACAGGGATGATCATACACAAGACCATCCCTTCAAGTTTAGGAGAAGTAGCTGTTCCGCCTAATTCACAGATATGAACACAGAAAGCCAAGCAAAACAAGGAGACTGAGGAGTAAATTCCCAATAAAAGAACAAGACGAAACCTCAGAAAAAGAACTAAATGAAACAGAGATAAGCAATATGCCAGGCAGAGTTTAAAGAAATGGTCATAATAATGCTCACCAGACTACAGAGAAGAGTGGAAGAACTCAGTGAGAACTTCAACAGAGACAGAAAACATAAGGAACCTATCTGAGTTGAAGAATATAACTGAAATGAAAAATACACTAGAGGAAATCAACAGATTAATGGATGCAGAAGAATGGATCAGTGATCTGAAAAACAAGGTGATGGAACACAACCAACCTGAACAGCAAAAAGAAAAACATTTTTTCAACGAGGATACAGTAAGGGATCTCTTCAACAACATCAAGCTCACAAACATTAGCATTATATGAGTCCAAGAAGGAGAAGTGAGAAAGAAAGAGGCCAGAAAACTTACTTAAAGAAATAATAGCTGAAAACTTCCCTGATCAGGAGAAGGAAACAGACATTCAAGTTCAGGAAGCACAGAGAGTTCAAACAAAATGAACCCGAGGAGGTCCATACCATGACACATAATAATTAAAATGTCAAGGACTAAAAGAGAATTTTATCAGCTGATTTTCAGAAGAAATTTTGCAGGCCAAAAGGGAATGTTCAGGATATATTTAAAGTGCTAAATGGAAAAAAACCTACCACCAAGAATAATCTACCCAGCAAGATTATCATTCAGATTTGAAGGAGAGATAAAATGAGCTTCCCAGGCAAGCAAAAGTTGAAGGAGCTCACCACCATTAAACCAGACTTACAAAAAATATTAAAGAACTTCTTTACGTGGAAAAGAAAAAGCCGTAATTAGAAGAAAGTTACGAATAAAAAGAAGTAAAATAAGATAATGTATACAAAAAACATGGAGGAGGGAGTAAAAAAGAAGTTCTTTTAAAATGAGTTCCAACTGGGGCACCTGGGTGTCTCAGTCAGCTGGGCAGCCAATTCTTGATTTCGGCTTGAGTCATGATCTTGGGGGTCCTGGGATTGAGCCCCACATGGGGCTCCGGGCTCAGCGGGGAGCCTGCTTCAGGATTCTCCCTCCCTCTGCCCCTCCCCCCACTTGCTCACTTTCTCTTTCTAAAATGAATAAATTTAAAAACAAAATGTGTTCCAACTTAAGTGACCATCATATTATTATAGATGGCTATATACTTAGGATTCTATAGCAGACTCCCCGCTGAGCGTGGAGCCTGATGCAAACCTCCTGGTAACCACAAACACAAAACCTGTAACAGATACACAAAAAATGAAGAGAAAAGAAAGCCAAGCTAACACTAAAGAAAATCATCAATTACAAGGAAAGGGAGCAAGAAAAGAAAGGAACAGAGAAGAACTACATAAACAACCAGAAACTAAATAACAGTGAGTACATACCTATCAGTAATTACTTTAAATGTAAATGGTCTAAAAGCACCAATCAATAAACTTAGGGTGGCAGAACAGATAAAACACAAGACCCAACTATATGCTGCCTACAAGAGACTCACCTCACACCTAAAGACACATACAAAATGAAGGAGCAGAAATGGAAAAAGATATACCATGCAAATGGAAGCAAATGGAAAAAAAAAAAAAAAAAAAACCAAGAAAAAAAAAAAAAAAAAAAAAAAAAAAAAAAAACAACCAAGGTAGCAACACTTACATCAGACAAAACAGACTTTAAAACAAAGACTAACAAGGGACAAAGAAGGGCATTACATGATGATAAAGGATCAATGCAAAAAGAAAATAAACCAATTATAAATATCTATGCACCCAACATCAGAGCACCTAGGTACATAAAGCAAATATTAACAGACATAAAAGGAAAACTTGACAATAATACCATTATGGTAGGGAACTTTAACACCCACTTACATCAATGGATAAATCATGCAGGCAGAAAATCCATAACGAAACAGTGTCTTTGCATGACACATTAGTCCAGATGAACCTAACAGATATACATTGAACATTCCATCCCAAAAAAACCAGAATACACCTTCTTTTCAAGTGTACATGGAAGATTCTCCAGGATAAATCATGTTAGGCCCCAAAACAAGTGTCAGTAATTTTTTTAAAAGATTTTATTTATTTATTTGACAGAGAGCGAGAGAGCACAAGCAGGGACAGCAGTAGAAGGAGAGGGAGAAACAGACTCCTCGCCAAGCAGGGAGCCCAATGTGGGGCTCAATCCCAGGACCCTGAGATCACGACCTAAGCTGAAAGCAGATGCTTAACCATCTGAGCCACCCAGCTGCCCCGAAGTCTCTAAACTTAAGAATGAAATCGAATCATGCATCTTTTCAGACCACAAGGCATGAAACTAGTAATCAATCACAAGAAAAAAACTGGAAGAAACCACAAATATGTGAAAGCTAAACAACCAATGGGTCAACAAAGAAATGAAAGAAGAAATAAAAAAATACAGAGAGACAAATGGAAATGAAGACACAATGGTCCAAAATCTGAGACTCAGCAAAAGCAGTTCTATGGAAAATTTACAGTGATACAGGCCTACCTCAAGAAACAAGAAATATCTGAAGTAAACAATCTAACCTTATACTTAAAGGAATTAGAAAAAGAACAAAACCCAAGGTCAGTAGAAGGAAGGAAATAAAAGAGCAGAGCAGAAATAAATGAAAAAGACTAAAAAAACCCACAAAAAACCCGAAAACCCAACAATAGGAAAGATCAGTGAAACCAAGATTCGTTTCTTTGAAAAGATAAACAAAATTGATAAACCTTTGGCCAGACTCAAGAAAAACAGAGAGGACCCAAATTTAAAAAATCAGAAATGAAAAGTAACAACTGACACAAAAGAAATACAAAGGATGAGAGACTACTTCGAAAAATCACATGCCAACAAACTGAACAACGCAGAAGAAATGGATAAACTCCTGGAAATACACAATCTTCCAAAAATGAATCAGGAATAAATAGAAAATCTGAACAGACTGATTACTAGTAACAAAACCAAACTGATAATCAAAAAACTCCCAACAAATACAAGTCTAGATGAATTTACAGGTGAATTCTACAAGAGTTAATATTTATTCTCCTCAAACTATTCCAAAAAATAGAAGAGGAAGGAAATCTTCCAAATACATTCTACAAGGCCAGCATTACCCCAATTCCAAAATCAGACAAAGACACTCCCAAACTACAGGCCAATATCCCCAGTGAACACAGATGCAAAAATCCTCCACAAAATATTAGCCAACCACATTCAACAATACATTCACCACGATCGAGTAGCATTTATTACAGGGATGCAAGGATGCTTCAATAGTCATAAAATCAATGTAATACACCATGTTAACAAAGTGAAGGATAAAAATCATATGACCATCTCAATAGGTGCAGAAAAAGCACTGGACAAAATTCAACATCTGTTCAACAGAGTGGGTTTAGAGGAAACATTCCTCAACATAATAAAGGCCATATATGGAGAAACCCACAGCTAACATCATATTCAATGGTGAAAAACTGAGAGCTTTTCCTCTAAGCTCAGGAATAAGATAAGAATGCCCACTCTTGCCACCAGAAGTCCCAGTCATAGCAAACAAACAAGAAATAAAAGATATCCAAATTGATAAGGAAGAAATAAAACTCTATTTGTAGGTGCCACGATAGTATACAAAAAAACCTCAAGATGCCATCAAAAAACCATTAAAAGTAATAAATTCAATGTTGCAAAATACAAAATTAATATACAGAAATGTTACATTTCTATACACTAATAATGAAATAGCAGAAAGAGAAATTAAGGAAACAATTCCATTTACAATTGCACCAAAAATAATAAAATAGGAATAAACTTAACCAAGGAGGTGAAAGTCCTGTACTCTGAAAACTATAAAACACTGATACAAGAAATTGAAGATGACACAAATGGAAAGATAATCCATTACCATGGATTTGATAATGGAATGTTAAAATGTCCATACTACCAAAAGCAATCTACAGATTCAATGCAATCCCTATCAAATTACCAACAGCATTTTTCATGATACTAGAACAAAAAATACTAAAATTTGTATGGAATCATAAAAGACTGAATAGCCAAAGCAATCTTGAGAAAGAACAAAGCTGGAGGCATCACACTTCTTGATTTCAAGATATACCACAAAGGTTTAATAATCAAAACAGCATGGTACTGGCACAAAAAGAGACACACAGATCAATGGAACAGAATAGAGCCCAGACATAAGCCCACATTTATATATGGTCAATTAATCTTCAAAAAAAAATCTTCAAAAAAGAATATGCAATGGGAAGAAGTCCGTTCAACAAATGATGCTGGGAAAACTGGACAGCTACATGCAAAAGAATGAAACTGGACCCCTATCCTACCACCATACACAAAAATAAACTCAAGACGGATTAAAAGCTTAAATGTGAAACCTGAAACCATAAAACTCCTAGAAGAAAACATAGACAGTAATTTCTCTTACAGTGGCCTTAACAATACTTTTCTAGATAGGGCTCCTGAGGCCAGGTAAACACCAGCAAAAATAAACTACTGGAACAACACCAAAATAAAAAGCTTTTGCACAGGGACACCTGGGTGGCTCAGTCAGTTAGGCGTCTGCCTTTGGTTCAAGTCATGATCCTGGAGTCCTGGATTGAACCCCACATTGGGCTCCCTGCTCAGCAGGGAGTCTGACTCTCCCTTTGCCCCTCACCCTGTGTTTGCTCTCTTGCTCTCTCTCAAAAAAATAAAATCTTAATTAAAACAAAAAACTTTTACACAGCAAAGGAAACCATCGACACAATGAAGAGGCAATTTACTGGAAAGGGAATAGATATTTGCAATGATAAATCCAAAAACAGGTTAACATCCAAAATATATTAAGAACTTATACAACTCAACACTAAAAAAACAAAAAGTCCCCGATTTAAATGGGCAGAAAACCTGAACATTTTTTCAAAGACATACAGATGGCCATCAGACACGTGAAGAGATACTCAACTCACCATCAGAGAAATGCAAATCAAAAACCACAAGGAGGTATCATTCACACCTGTCAGAAAGGATGAAATCAAAAAGACAAGAAATAACAAGTGCTGGCAAGGATGTGGAGAAAAAGGAACCTTCATGTACTGTTGGTGGGAATGCAAACTGGTGCAGCCACTGTAGAAAACAGTATGGAGGTTCCTCAACAAATTAAAAATAGAATACCATATGACCCAGTAATCCCACTATTTACGCAAAGAAAGTAAACACACAAACTTGAAAAGACATATGCACCCCTACATTTACTGCAGCATTATTTACAACAGCCAAGCTAAGGAAGCAAACTAAATGCTCATCAACAGATAAACAGAGAAAAATGTGGTAAGTATACATAATGAAACATTACTCTGCCACAAAAAAGGAGATCTTGCCATTTGCAACAACATGGATGGACCTAGAGGGTATTATGCTAGGTGAAATAAGTCAGACGGAAAGACAGATACCATAATGAGGAATCATACATGGAATCTAAAAAAAACAAAAGAAAGAAATAAAAAGCAGGAGAGCCATAAATACAGAGAACAGATGGTTGCCAGAGGAGAGGGGGAATGGGCAAAATACGTGAAGGGGAGTAGGAGACACGTCCAGTTACAGAATGAGTAAGTCATGGGGACAAAAGGCACAGCACAAGGAAAATGGTTACTGGTATCGTATAGTGTTGTACGGTGACAGACTGGTAGGCACACTTAGTGAGCACAGCAGCGTCTACAGACTTGCTGAACACCTGAAACTAATATGACATTGTATGTTAAGTATACTTCAATTAAAATAAATGAAACAGGGGCACCAGGGTGGCACAGGTGGTTAAGTGTCCGACTCTTGGTTTCAACTCAGGTTGTGATCTTAGGGTCAGGAGATCAAGCCCCACGTTAGGCTCCGTGCTCAGTGCAGCCTCTGCTTGGGACTGTCTCTCCCTCTCCCTCTGACCCTCCCGACCCCACCCCCCCACGCACACCCACTTGCGTGCGTGCTTGCTCTCTCTCCAAAATAAATAAATCTTTAAAAAATTAAATCAATCAATAACATAAAAATGTTAAGTCTGAAAGAAAAAAATCAAAAAAGCAGCTTTGCGGTTGGATCAGAAGTCAAATCCCATCTCTGTCACCCATTTTCTTTGGAAACTAACTTCCGTGAGTTGTTTGGGGACTAAGTTACCTATTTGTCTGAACCTGTAATATAATGGGAATAATAATACCTCCCACATAATTAACAGCTAGCATGTTATGTATGCCAGTCACTGTGCCCTGTCACATGGCTTGGACTAACTTGATGAGTAAGGTTTTCTTATTGTTACTGCAGTTTTAACAGATGAGCCTACCATGACACAGAGGTGTTCACTGACTCGCGAAAGTCATGCAGCAAATAGGACAAATTTGAACCCAAGGCATTCAGAATCCACACTCAGCACAAGTATGCCCCACTCACTGCCTTTGCAGTGGGAATTCACATACTTAGGACATTCAGTACACTGCTAGGCTCACTGCAGGACAAATGGTCTGTTCACCTCCTTTGCTCCCCAAAACACTGGGAAAAGCCGAAAGACAAGGAAGTGGCTATAAGATTCAAACTGCAGTGGGTCACTTTGCACCTCATTATAAAATATCACCAGTATTGTAAAATGTAACATTTGCATTGTGAATTGCAGCAATAACAATTTCCAGCTCTCTTCTTGGCCCATGGTAGGACTGCATTTCATGCCCTGACTTGTACTGGCAATGTGATTAATTCTGGACAATGAGTTGAACAGAAAATGTATCATGTCCAGGCTAGCATACTTAACTGATGCTTTAAGACCCTCCAAAACTCTCCCTCTGCAACAGAAATCAGTCTACAGTGAGGAGACTTCTGCTGCTGACTTGAAATGAACACCAAATATGAGAGAGATATAAATCTTGTTTGAGCCAATAAGATGTATACCACAGCATAACCTAGCCCACTCTGACTGATAAAATAAACCAGTCATCTCCCATGAGCTAACATGTTTCCTGTCACTTATATGACTATAACCAAGAGCTTCAACTTTTGCCCAAACACTACATAATACTACATTAGTAGATACACCAGACAAATAAACGGTACATATTTACCTAAGGTCCTTCCTACCCCAAGAGCAAGGCGAACATGAGATAGTTTAAGGTGCCTTTTGATTCGCTCAATCATGGTTGCCAAGGAAACAGATTCATCCAGTGTGCATAACCGTCCCATTCCAGTATGTAGAAGCAGAGGCTGAGGAGAAAGAGAAGTTAGAAAAACTATCCATCTTCGTCCTAGAAAACAAACAGCAAATGATGAAAATAAAACATGCACACTGTGAGCTTACTATAGCCAGCACCAGGCTAAAGTCTCGGGATGCAAACCTGACAAAAACATTCTCTGACTTCTACGAGCTCAGTCTTCTGGAAAGGCAAAGGTTTAGATAACTAATCATAATAAAAGTGTTTAAATACAGGAGAGGTGCTATTTTATGGAAGCACAAAGAAACCACAGAATAAATGAGCTGGTACTTGGCGTGAGGGTACTTGGAGGAAGTGCAATCAAAGGGGTTCTTTTTGTTGTTGTTTTTTTAAGATTTGTCAGAGAGAGAAAGAGAACACAAGCAGGGGGAGCAGCAGGCAGAGGGAGAAGCAGGCTTCCCGCTGAGCAAGGAGCCTGATGTGGGGCTCGATCCCAGGACCCTGGGATCATGATCTGAGCCGAAGGCAGATGCTTAACTGACTGAGCCACCCAGGCTCCTGGAATCAAAGGTTTTACAGAGACTTGGGTCTCCCAGATCAGAAAAAAGGTTAAAAAAAAAAAGTGATGGTAAGTGCCATGTAGTAGGAAAGGGATAGGGTGAAATGTGGAAGGCATAAGCTCACGGTGGATCCAAGAGCAGACACTCTAGCTGGTGTGCAGAGCAGGGCTAGGGACAGAAGGCATAGCCAGTCATGAAGGCTTTGTACACTGTGCCCGAAAGCATGGACTGTCTCTTTCAGGTGCCCACTAGGGAGACTACTCAACTCCCAGGTGACGAAAGATGAGAGTTTCAACTACTACGATGACAAAGCAAATAGAGAAGAGACAGTTTTGATTTGGGGACAGAATCAGCAGGGCTTGGATTTATGAGAGGCAAGGCAGAGTTGTGGAAACTTAGAAAATAAGGTAGATGATGATGCCACCAATGAAACAGAAAAAATATTTAAAGGGGTGATGTAGGGGCGTCTGGGCGGCTCCATCAGTTAAGCATCTAACTCTTGACTTCGGCTCAGGTCATGATCTCAGGGTGGAGCCTACTTAAGAGTCTCTCTCTCCCTCTCTCTCTGCCCCTTCCCCCAACCCCTGCTCTCACGGGTGTGCATGCTCTCTCTAAAAAATAAATAAATAAAAATAAAGGGGTGATACAGGAGATAAGGTCAGTATTTGTATATATTGAAGTACCTCTGGGATCCATTAGGAGGAAAATGTCCACAGAGTCCCTGGAAATACAGGTTTAACTTTTTACCTTAAGAAAGCATTCTGAGCCAGAAAAATCAAGATACAGGAATCATTATATAAATAGCGGTCAGTTGTTAAAGGAGCAAATAAAATGGTCCAGGCAGAGGGTATAAAAGAGACAGAATCTATAACCTGTAACGGAGTCTCTAACCCTGAAAAGTACTGCTATGTAATACTAGGTATCAACTACACTTCAGTAAAAAACAGAATCTTTACGGGCGCCTGGGTGGCTCAGTCGGTTAAGCATCTGCCTTCAGCTCAGGTCATGATCCTGGAGTCCTGGGATCAAGCCCTGCAACCGGCTCCCTGCTCAGTGGGGAGTCTGCTTCTCCCTCTGCCCCTCACCCTGCTTGTTTCTCTCTCTCAACTAAATAAATTTTTTTAAAAATCTTAAAAAAAAAAAACAGAATCTTTAAAATTATTTATTACTTTTTTTTTTTGAGAGAGAGCACACATGTGAGCTTGGGGGGAGGGGGAGTCTTGAGCAGGATCCACACCCAGCATGGAGCCCCACTTCATGACCCACCTCATGAGATCATGACCTGAATCAAAACCAAGAGACGGACACTTAATGGCCTGAGCCACCCAGGTACCCCAAAACCAGAACTTTTTTTCAAAGTACGGCACTGCTATGACCTGAATGTATCTGCCCCACACAAATTGATATGTTGAAATCCTAACCCCCAAAGGTGATGGTATTAAGAGGTGGAACCCTTGGGGGGTACTTAAGTCATGAGTGGGGAGCCCACATGACTGGGATTCGCTTATAAAATAGCCTCCGAGAGATATCCCTAGTCCTTCCCTTTATGTGAGGACACAGAGAGAAGGCGCCACTGATGAACCAGGAAGTGGGCCCTCACCAGATGCCACTCCACATCTGTTGGTACCATTACCTGGGACTTCCCAGCCTCCCAAACTGTGAGAAATACATTTCTGTTCTTCAAAAGCTATCCACATAGAGCCCAAATGTGTTATAGCAGCCCGAACAGACTAAACATCTACCAACACTTTTCCACTCCTGGAATGTCTTCCTTTCTCAATATATTTTTCAGGGTATTTTATGCACTCAACACCACCTTGTGCTTAAGTAAACAGCCTGTCAATCTAACAATTTACAAATGAATCTGTCAAAAATGCACAGTAATATATTTTTATTACCTTCTCCAGTGACAGAATTTCGGTCTTCTGATAGAACTGTCTGCTCTGGGAAAGAAAAGCCACCACCTGTATCAAAGCCTCCTGACTACAATTCAGACTAATCCGTGTTTGTTCTTCATCGTCAGTCCTATTAAAAAAAAAAAAAATCACTTGCTCCTTTAGGATAAATGTAAGCGAAATGTATTTTATTTTTCGTAAAGATTTTATTTATTTATCTGAGAGAGAAAGAAAGCAAGCATGTGCTCACAAGAGAAGGGGCAGAGGGGGAGGGAGAGAGAATCCCAAGCAGACTTTGTGCTGAGTTTGGGCCTCACTGCCACGAGGCTCAATCTCACAACCCTAAGATCTTGACCTGAGCTGAAACCAAGAATCAGATGTTTAACCAGACACTTAACTGACTGAGCCACCCAGGTGCCCTTTGAATCGTATTTTAAACAATCCAGTTTACAGCCTCCTGAAATAGAGATTAAATTACATGAAATTTAGGATTCAATCCCAAACCAAACTATTTTCTAGAATAGTATTCCTCAAACTTCAGCACGCATCAAAATCTCCTTATAGATTTTTTTTTAAAAGACTTATTTGAGAGAGAGAGAGCATTAGCGGGAGGGGGAGAGGGAAAGAGAATGTCAAGCAGGCTCTGTGTTCAGTGTAGATCCCAACACAGGGCTTGATCTCATGACCCTGATATCATGACCCAAACGGAAACCAAGAGTCAGATGCTTAACCCCACTGCACAACCAAGGCACCACAAAATCTCCTTGTAGACTTATTAAAACACAGATTGCTGAGCTTTACCCCCCGAGTTTCAGATTCAGTAGGTCTAGGTGGGGATCTGAGAATTTACCTTTCTAATAAGCTCCAGGTGATGCTGAGGTTGCTGACGCAGGGACCTCACTTTGAAACCACTGTTATAGAACTATTCCTTTTTTTTTTAAATTTATTTTATTTATTTGACAGAGAGCACAGGGCAGGGGAAGCAGCACAGGGAGAGGGAGAAGCAGACTCTCCGCTGAGCAGGGAGCCCGATGCAGGGCTCAATCCTAGGACCCTGGAATCATGACATGAGCCAAAGGCAGATGCTTAACCTACTGAGCTACCCAGGGGCCCTGTTATAAAACTATTCTTAATCCCAGGTGTGCATCAGCAAATCTGCTAGCTTCTTAAAATGATAGCCGCTGGACCCTTCTAAAGATCCAGTGAAACACAAATTCTACGAATGGGAGTAGGGCAAACTGAATTTTTTAAGGCCCTACAGAAGTTAACTTTCAAATAGTACTGAATACAAGTATCTCTGGGACAGATTTTCAGGCAAACCCAATTCTAATTACATAGATCTAGGATGAAAAGCCAAAAATGTGCATTTTTCATAAGCATCCCATTAACAATGATGTAGGGGGTCCTTGAGGCACCCTCTGAAAAGCAATGCCCTAGAGACTATCCAAAAAGATTGGCATCAGGAAAGTTTTGTATTTAACCATAAACTCTAAATATAATCCTAGAATTCTAGAACTAAAAGACACCTTAAAAGAATCTGGAGGTGCAGTTGTCAACCCTGGAACCATCTGTGGAGCTTTGAAAAGAAAAACTGCCTGGACCCCAATCTAATGGTAAAGCCGAGATATTACCTGTAATAGGGAAAAACTAAAACCAAATGTGCATCAGTTAAAAAAAAAAAAACTCATCAGTTAGGAAGAAGAATGCTTAAAGAAACCCAGGACATCTAAAATAATAAACACAACACAGCAGGTAAAGAGATCTTCTATAACTATATGGGATGATCTCGAAGACACCCTGGCAAATAAAAAAAGGCAAATGCAGCATACCATTTAATTAAGGGGAAAAAACAACAACTATGCATTTCTTCATATCCCTGTATACGTATGAAAAGATACCCACTTCTCTGAAAACAAGGAAAAGATGATTTGCATTGAAGATACTGGAATTGAGTAAAAGGAACAAGGAGGACTTTTGTATTGTTTGAAATTTTCATGATTTGTATCATTTTCTTTTTAGTATTTACACAGTATTTCAATATGGTAAAAGACCGCCATGACTAGAATCTATAAAGTCCTATAATTTCTCTTGAGATTCTTTAAATTCCTCAACACCATTAGAAAACATTTGCAATTTAATTATAAGGTGTCTACACTTAAAAACCTCTCATAAGGGGCACGTGGGTGGCTCAGTTGTTTACGCGTCTGCCTTTGGCTCAGGTCACGATCTCATGGTCCTGGGATTGAGGCCTGCATCGGGCTCCCTGCTCAGCGGGGAGTCTACTTGTCTCCCTCTCATTCTGCCCCTCTCCCTGCTTGTGTGTGTGCGTGCACGCTCTCTCTCAAATAAATAAATTAAATCTTTAAAAAAAAAAACCACTCATGAAATAATCACTTTTTGTTGTAGCCTGATAAAGATTTCCACTTTATTAAAATCATTCTATTTATCTTTGTTTTTTAAACAATTATTTACAGCTTTGTGTAACTTGTCTTTTAACATGTTTCAAAAGGCATTAGGATAGACTGGCTTCAAAGGAAATCTTCTATGAGACGCCATTTTGGTATCTCTGCCCTAAATAAATGATTGGCCCTGTAAGAGGCACCCAAATGGTTTGTTTTTTCCCTTTAAAGTACTTGGGAGGACGTGGAGAAAGGGGGAACCCTTTTACACTGTTGTTGGGAATGCAAACGGTACAGCCACTCTGGAAAATAGTATGCAGGTTCCTCAAAAATTTAAAAATAGAACTCCCCTACGACCTAGCAATTGCACTACTAGGTATTTATCCAAAGGATACAAACACCGTGATCGGAAGGGGCACATGCACCCAATGTTTATAGCAGCAATGTCCACAAGAGCCAAACTATGGAAAGAGCCTAGATATCCATCAACAGATAGATGGATAAAGAAAACATGCTATGCATACACAATGGAATATTACTCAACCATCAAAAACAATGAACTCTTGCCATTTCCAACGATGTAGATGGAACTAGAGCATTATGCTAAGTGAAATAAGTCAGAGAAAAACATACTGTATGATTACTCATGTGTGGAATTTTAGAAACAAAACAGATGAACATAGGGGAAGGGAAGGAAAAATAAAATAGGGTGAAAACAGAGAGGGAGGCAAACCATAAGAGACTCTTAACTCTAGGGAACAAACTGAGTGTTGCTGGAGGGGAGTTCGGTGGGGGGATGGGCATTAAGGAGGGCGCTTGATGTAATGAGCACTCGGTGTTAAATACAACTGATTAATCACTAAATTCTACCCCTGAAACTAATACAGGATATGTTAACTAAATTGAATTTAAATAAAAAATAAATTTTATTTATTTTTAAAGATTTTATTTGACAGAGAGAGAGAGCACAAGCAGAGGGAGCGGGAGAGGGAGAAGCAGGCTCCCCGCGGAGCAGGGAGCCCGACGTGGGGCTTGATCCTAGGACCCTGGAATCATGACCTGAGCCAAAGGCAGATGCTTAACCGACTCAGCCACCCAGGTGCCCAAAAATGAATAATATTTAGAAAGTGCTTGGGAGGGGCGCCTGGGTGACTCAGTTGTTAAGCATCTGCCTTCGGCTCAGGTCAGGATCCCAGGGTCCTGGGATCGAGCCCCGCATCAGACTCCCTGCTCAGCCGGAAGCCTGCTTCTCCCTTTCCTGCTCCCCCTGCTTGTGTTCCCTCTTTCGCTATCTCTCTCTGTCAAATAAATAAAATCTTAAAAAAAAAAATTTTTTAAATAAAAAAATAAAAGTGCTTGGGGATCACTGATTTGCTGGAAACTGAAAGTAAACCCATGTAATCAAGTGTTATCGGTAGGATTTATCTATATACTCTCAAGTAAAAACCACCTTTCAATGTTATCAGGAGAACTAGAAATATTATAAGTAAAAGGTGTAGCGCAGTCCCTCCCACATAAATAAGTGTTACTTGTCATTTTTATTGTTTCAAAAAGACCCCATGGAACACCCACATGCAAATGAGAAGTAGGCTGCCTTAGAAACCCATTCTGGGGGAAAACAGTTTGTTTCAGCCCTAAATACCAGGGTTATAGAATTTATAAGGAAGATCCATACAGATAAATATACACAAAAAAGGAGAAAAATACATCGTACCTAGTAGAAAAAGAAGTGACAGAAACATCTGCCATTTCTTTCACTGCAGAAATGACTTTGTCCAGGTCTTCGGTGCAGTTAACACTGAATTCTACTCTATGCGTCCCTGCTGTGGGGTAGTTGGGAGCTTTGGAAGGATGTATGGGCCTGGAGGTGCAAACTCCTAGGAAAAAAATGTTTTTTTTTTTTAATTAAAAAGATAAACTATTTTTTTAATTAAAAACAAACTATTAGGGGCAAAATTTTAAGGAAATGAGTTTTTAAAGATCATTTCTCAGATACTTATGTAATACACACACACATATCCCTTACATATATACCTAAATCCCCATAATCTAGGGATTTAGTACATACAAAATCAAAGTTATTTTCAGAATTATTTTCCAGAAGACTCTTAAATATCACAAAAACTTGACTCATGAATTCTTAGAGGATATACAGAATTGTGACTGCTTCCTAAATTTATTCATGTAAACCATCATTCAGGTTGCAAATGCTCATAATCTACTTGACCACATTAATCCAGGTATGTCATCATAAAAGCTTCAGCCCCAATGAGTAAACTAAAATAACTTACTAAAAACAAAACTAAAACACATAGGCTGAAGTCCCAATTGTACTGGGCTTGAGCAAGCATTCAATAAAACTCTGATGTCTATTTAACTGATACATAAAGTATATTCTGGAGGTCTGAGCTCTCGACTCAATTTAACAAGCACTTCTCGAATTTCTGGGTGCTAGGCACTGCGCCACATAAGCGAGGACTCACAAAGCTCAGTCCAGCAATGAAGATTTCCTATGCTCTCCTTACTCATTAAGGATAAAAATTTCGTTTCTCAAATATAATTGCTAGATTTCACATTATTTTCAAATATATAAAAATAAAATAACGTACCCACATCTAAAGCAGTTAAAATTCTGTTGGAAAGACATTCTAAAATTTCAAAGCATTTGTAGGGAAAATATTAAACATGAAAGAATAAGAGGCTTCTCACCAAGCCCTTTAGCCAACCAGCTGTTGACTCCCTGGGGTGCAGCATCATAGGCTGTGTGAGGAGAGTAAATACCGACTCTGTTTTCCAGAGCCTGGATCACCAGGCGCTCCTTCCAGGTTTTCCAGGTTATGTGCTTTAAGGGTCGGAAAATAGGTGGATGGTAGGAGAGAATGAGATCCGCCTTCTTTTGCAGCGCCTCCTCCATTACTTCCTCCGTCAAGTCATTGGTAAGGAAGAGTGTGTGTACAGTGTGTGGTGGGCTTGGTTCCACCAGTAATCCAACATTGTCCCAACTCTCAGCAAGTGAGAGGGATGCAAAGTCATTCAAGGAGGAAAGGAGCACCTTCAAATCCATGAAGGAACGGGAAAAATTGCAGATCGGGGAATGAACAAGCCGGATTGTTCTGGGAATGAGGCGTACAGGAGAGGACAACATACAGAAATCAGGCAAAACTGAGTGTCTGAAGTCAAAACACAGAAAAAGGGTACACAGATACACGTTAGGCCTGGACCTTCGAAGGAGCAAACCATACGAGTACAAGAGCTGTAGTCACATATTCCTGGGTTCAAATACTGATTCTGCCACTTACCAGGACACGGTATCTTAGATAAGTCATTTGACCTGAGGTTATTTTCTCATTTACAAAATGGGAGACACTATAACCTACATCAGAGGCCATTCAAAGGAGCAAATCAATTAATATGTGTAAGTCACCTAGCATGAGCCTGGTACGTAATACACAAATGTTCATCCCCACCTCCTCGACCTCACACACGCCCTGATTCTTGTTCTCCCCATCCTTGCTTCAACCACTCTCCTCCCTTCTCCAGTTCTCTAAATACTACCCTTCCTTCCAAGTCTCCTTCAACTTCCTAAAGCTTTTCTCGACAAACCTTTTCAGTATCTAGGCCCTATACAAAACTAACACTATCAACTCCATTAAGAATCCAGGATCATTTCTATTTTTGAAGAACAGCATTCATAGTGTGTATAGACAAGATAACCATAGCCAATCGTAAATTTAATCAAGTATTCGTAATCCAGTAATTTCAAAAACAAATTTTTCAACAAAAATATTTAACAAATTTGTTGAAAAAAGTATTTTTTCAGCAAAAATATTTACTACTACATGTGTGTACTTATTCAGAATCTGATTTGAAATGCTGCGGAGCCTCCAAAATCCAAGGGAGCCTGGGGTCTTGGAAGTGGTTCTTACACCACTTTCCCTCTCCGATTCCAAGTACTGATACTGCCCAGCTCTCCAGACTCTTCTAAATCTGGCAGGCGTGAAAGTGAAGCCCTAGTGGGCCACCACAGCTTTGAGTTATTTACTGCTAAATTTGAAAACCCTTGAAAATAAACAGAACACCCTCCATTTCACAGACAGGAAACTGCGAGGCTGCGTGGCTTCACGCCGCAATTAACAATGGGAGGCGGCACACGTGGTGGTAGAGCTCCGACTCTGAAACCAGACTGACTCCCAGAACCACAGCTGTGTAACAAATTACCTAACCTCTGCTGTCCTCCGAAGAATGAAAATAATAGTGCCACGCGTACGGTGTGGTCGCAAGATTTAACCGTACAGATGGGAACAATGCCTACTGTCCGCACTGTTTTTAAATGACATTAGCATGACCCACTTTACAGCCTGCAAACTGCACCTTATTACGTTGCTTCATCTACCTCTCATTTCAGTCCCACTTCCGACCTTTTCCAGGACAATGAAGAGGCCAAACACGGCCAGAAGGTCCCGAATCGGCACTTCTTCCCCACCAGCACCCTACGCTATCACGCCACAAACCAATTTCCGGCCCCTGTCTCCTCCTCCGGCTTCTTTCCCAGAAGCACCCTCACAACTTCCAGGGCGTGCACTAACCACCGCCCGGCACCGGACAACTGGACTCACTACTTCCGGGCCTGCGCAGGGCCTCTTGGCGTACAGGATGGGATGGAGAGGAGCCGGGCGGAAGTGGTCCTTCCCATTTTACGTCTGAGCCTAAAGTACTGCTAGAGGATGCCCGGAATGGTTCCGGTTTACGTTTCGTGTCCTTGTATAATTATTAAAAGAGCTCCCTTTCACTGTCAAAAGCGTACCAGGTGAGGATAAATTACATCGTCTTCCTAGTTCTAGTCATTTTGGTTTGAAATAGGAAGGAAGGAGGCGAGCAGGTGAGGGGCGTTCTAATTGGTCCCGCGCTCGACTTCCGGTAGCCCGGAGACACTAATTTCGAAACGTGGGTATATGCAAGGGCATCTTTTCTGTTTCAACAACAGCTGTGCTAACTAAAGTGGTAAGTAACATCATTCTTTCATTCACTTACCGAGACTCTTGCTAAGCTCTGTGTTTTAATTCTTGGGCTTCGAGTGAGCATACTGGGCGGGGAGGGTGGTATTGGAACAGACTTAATTAGAAAAATATATAGCGTATTATTGATAAGTGCTACAGGAAAAGGTAATTGGGCCGGTACTAGAGTGAAGGCAGTTTTAAATAGAGTTACCAGAGACTTGGATGTGAGGAATATAACTGTCCAGATGTCTGAGTATAAGTGCTCCAAAGAGAGAACACCCAGTGTCTAGACCCTAAGGCGGAAATGTACCTGACTTGGAAGAGTTGCAGGGAGGCTTTTGAAGGATAGTGAACAGGGGAAGTAGGATATTGAGGGGCTTGAGTCGGGTAGGTTCTTATCGTTTCCATAACCAGATTTTTATTACTTGGGGGTGCTATTCGAGACTTTTTCTTTTAAATAAGCAGTAAAAATGAGCATGTGTGAGTTAAGAGAGGAAAATGAACTTAATTTTCTCTTTTGGGAATAGAGACACGTTTTCTAACTTCTCTTGGTAAGACAGAAATTAAGCAGTAGTACTTCCTGAAACCATCAAGAAGAAAAATGGTAAGTTTTGTACAATTCTTTTTTTTTAAGATTTTATTTATTTGTCAGAGAGAGAGAGAGCACGAGCAGCTTGAAATAGAAGAAAAGCAATGAGAATAATGCTGTCTCCCTCTCACCCTACCTCCAACTCACACACTCCTACCCTCTATCAACCCACCATACTTTCTGACTGCTAGATAATACTGGAAGAAGAGAAGTGAAAAAGGAAGCCTCAGAGTAACCCCCACCCTACAACGGAATAACAAAAAGAACGTTCAAGTTACTGGAACATCAGATAAACAAAAATAAGCAAGGAGTAATATGGTTCCCTCTGCACATTTAGGATCTAGAAACACAGAAGATTGTTGTCTTTAGTGAAGAAAGGAATTGTTTTTAACACTCTCTCTCGTAATTAAATTACATAGGGAAATGGTGGAGACTGTTTTGAAAAGTTGTTTTCTTACTATTTTTCAATATATATTAATGATGTTGGTGAGTTGCCATTTAAATCAGTAATACTAACCATTGTTTTCATTTTTATTGATGAAAAATTCATACTTAAAAGAAGTATTTCCAGCACAATATTTATTGTTAAAATGTTTAGGGTAGACAGCATTTTACATTAACATATTTATCTTCTGGAGTTTTTCCTACTGTTGAAATAAATTTTGAAGAAGTGCAGCTTACTCTCAGCTGTGTGGACAGTTCATCTCTGAAATGGTATTTCTTTTTGTGTTTTCATTCAGATTGTCATCTTTAATCTAGTTGGGGAAATAATACAGCGCATAAAGTCATGGAGAAATCTCGTTTGTTCTTACATTTTTTTCTCCTTTTTAGTCAGTGACACTGCATACAGATGTAGGTGATATTAAAATAGAAGTTTTCTGTGAGAGGACACCCAAAACTTGTGAGGTGAGTACATTATGTACATATAAAAAATGAGTTAATGCCGCAGGATAACCATTTTGAAATTAAATTATCTAACCTAAAAAATAAACACTTGTATATAAAACCAATGTCAGGAAAAACTAGCCATCATAATTTCTGCTCTAGTTTCCACTTACCTTTTGATGTTAAAGGTGGATCAAAGAAAGGGTAGATAATTTTTCCCTAACCATGAGAGTGGTTGGTATCTTTTTCTTTTCACTTATTTTCCTCAGGAAATATAATCATTAGGATATTAGGTAAGAGAACTGTTTCTTACATTATTTTAATTATTTAAATTTCAAAGAAGGAAAGAGCTCTCTCTACATATTCATTCAACAATTATTTATGAAAGGCTATCTTGCCAGGGGAATACAGTAATGAACAAGAGACATTCCTTGCCCTCTTGGAGCTAACATTCTGAGAAAAGAATTGGCGGGGGGGATCATTCTAGAAAAAAGTGATTCTAGATCATGATAATGCCTTGAAGGAAACAAAGCATTGAAGTAGAGACTAATAGAAGAGAATTATTTAAAAGAAGTTAAGGGCAGGCCTAGCCAAGAAAGTGATACTTAAACTGAGTGCAGAAGGTAATGAAGGCATCTCCATGGAAAGAGATAAAAAGAATATTCCAGGTATAGAGATAGAAGTACAAAGGCCACAAGATGGGAAAGCCCACCTCTTTTGGATGAATTTTCAGAATGATGATGGGGTTAACATAGTAAGAGAAAGAAGTTATTAACACATGAGATGTAGAGGTATGACTGTATTCTATTCCAAGAACAGAAGGAAGCCATTCAAGTGTTTTAGACAGAAAAGTGACATTATCCAAAGTAATGCCTAAAAAACATAAATGCATTGTTACGGTACTTTGAGTAAATACAGTTTATTCATTACTTTAAATGTGTTTCTGCTACATCATTTCCCAATCATTATTTTTACCCTTTTCAGAATTTTTTGGCTCTTTGTGCCAGTAATTACTACAATGGCTGTATATTTCATAGAAATATCAAAGGTTTCATGGTTCAAACAGGAGATCCGACAGGTAAGTTACTGCATTAATATCTATCTAGAGAATTGGGTATATAGTATGAAGAAGAGGGTAGACAAATAGAAAAATATATAATGCAACATTGTGTGTCAACTATACTCAAATTAAAAATATTTGGGGGGGGGCTGCCTGGGTGGCTCAGTCAGTTAAGCATCTGACTCTTGATTTCGGCCCAGGTCTTGATCTCAGGGTCGTGAGTTCAAGCCCCACTAGGCTTGGAGCCTACTTAGAAAATATATATATAAATATATTTTTTTAAATAAAATTTAATTTTTATAAAATAAAACCAAAGATAGAAGTACATAGAGTTTTTATAACCCGCTACCTTACCATAACAAGAAATTTTTAAGTAGAAGCTACTGGCATCTATCTTTAAAATAAAATATGACTGGCATGCGTGGGTGGCTCAGTCAGTTGAGCATTGGACTCTTGGTTTCAGCTTGGGTCGTGATCTTGGGATTGTGAGATCAAGCCATGCATCAGACTCTCTGCTGAGCACAGAGTTTGCTTGGGATTCTCTCTCCCTCTGCCCCTCCTGCTCATGCACTCTCTCCTTAAATAACATCTTAAAATATGAAAAATACTGATAGAGGGTTTTTTTTTTGTAGAGATACTTTATTTTTCTTGTAGAGATACTTTTTTTGTAGAGATACTTTATTTTTCTTAATATTTATATTAAAGTGAAATTTTGATAAGAGAGAACGTAACAAGTTTTATCTTTATTTTTTTAAATTTATTTTTGCGAGAGAGAGAGAGTGCATGCACAAGCATGAGCAGGAAGAGGGACAGAGAGGGAAGCAGACTCCCTGCTGAGCAGGGAGCCCAATGTGGGACTCGAACCCAGGACCCTGGGATCATGACTAAAGCCAAAGGCAGACGCTTAACAGACCGAGCCACCTAGGCATCCCAAATTTTATTTATATTTAAAGTTATTAGGGCACCTGGATGGCTCAGTTGATTAAGTGTCTGCCTTCGGCTTGGGTCATGATATCAGGGTCCTAGGGTCAAACCCCACGTTGGGCTCCCTGCTCACTGGGGAGCCTGCTTCTCCCTCTTCCTCTGCCTCTCCCCCAGCTGTGTGCTCTTTCTCTCTCTCACAAATAAATAAAATCTTCAAAAATAAATAAATAGATAGTTATAAAATAGCTCTTGTGTTTTAGAAAATGAAACTTTTCAACTTACTTTTTTTTTAATTAGAGACTTCTTTTGATTTGTCTGTCTTGTAATATAGGTACCGGAAGAGGAGGTAACAGTATCTGGGGCAAGAAATTTGAGGATGAATATAGTGAATATCTTAAGGTATATCTCTAGTCCTTCAAAATCTATTTTCTCATGCCTTGTTTACACTTGAAAATTTTAATACATGTTGTAGTAACACAAGTTAATGTCATTAGTATACAAACATTATATTTTTGTAGTTTTAGTACACTTGATAAATGTCAGGGAGAAAATATAAATATAAATTGCATTTCTTGCCTAAAATATATTCTGGAATGTCACAATCACATGGATCTTGATATTAAGTGAGCTTATCTTTGGGTCCAACCCGAAATGTTTAATCAGTAATGTACCAAAAGGGCTTAATGTCTCACTATAAAATTAATGTTGAATGACATGAATCACCAGCCTTTTTTGAGAGTGGGGAGGAAAGCCTCTGAGACCTCCTGGTTGCAGTATTGCACATTATCAATATGAACTTTTATTATCTTTGTTTGATGTTTGAATATTCCTGAATTAATGTCTGTGGTGGATCCCAATTAGGTTAAAGGGAAGTGCTTGGCATGGTGAAATTAGAGATTTTTATTTCCTTTCCTGTTTTTTTTCTTTTCATATTTTTCCTCAATTTTCCAAACTTTCTAAAGAAGCTTTTTAATTTAAAAAAAAAAAAGATTTTATTTTTAAGTAATCTCTACACCCAGTGTGGGGCTCAAACTTACAACCCTGATATCAAGAGTCGCATGCTTCACCAACTGAGCTAGCCAGGTACTCCAAGAACCTTTTTTTTTTTAATAAACTAATGCATGCCTGTTTTTTAAAAAAAAATTTAAATTAAAAATTAAAAAAATAAAATAAATCAGTTATACTTCCCAGAGATGACATCTGCTGACAGTTATCATGTGGTCTTTTAAATAAACTTTGTATCTGCATAAAATGATAACTTTAGAACTTAGAAAAAAGAGAGAAATTCTCCTCAATAAAAATATGTAATTTAGTACATCGTATTTCAGTCACATTCAAATATATCCAGGAAAATTCTGAAAAAATTCCATTGCAGTGTTTATGTCTGGATGGTGGGACTAGGAGTAATTTATTTTTTCTTCTTTTTGTTTTCTTTCATAAGGGAACATTACTTTTGTTATAGGAGTTGGGGTTGGGAGGTGATAAACTGTTTATTAAGTCATCCTTTTCCTTAATTAAAAACAAAACTTCTTAGACATTAATTAATAACTGCTTCCATAACACTAATCTGTATACCAGTGGTTTTCAACACTGGTTAATACAGACTCACCTGTGGAAATTTTAAAAATATGAAATATTATGGCCTTACACCCCCTAAATATAGAGAAAAAGAATAGGAATGATTAGGACCTGAATTATACTTCAGGGTTCCTGGGTGATTCCTACAGTTACGGTTAAGAACCATTATCTTTATATACCAGAGTTGAGGGTGTGTATTGAATATTTACATACTCTGACCCAGCAATTCCATTCCCAAATGTTTACCCTCCAGAAACTCTTGTACGTGTGCATCAGGAAACAGTACAAGAGTGTTCCTAGAGTGCTATTTTAATAGCAAAAATCTAAAAACAACCCAAATGTCCACTGATCATAAAATGGAAATTATATTCAGTTGTGGAATACTATCCAGCAGTAAAAATCACAACTACTGCTACACATTCATGTGTAAATCTTAGAAACATAATGATTGTATAAATACCATTTCCCAGACGACTACAAATAGTATGATACTATCTTAGCTCAGAAACAAGCAAAAGAAAAAAATATATTTTTTAGGCATGTATAAAGATAGAATAGTGGGTCTCGGAGAAGTTGAGGTAATAGATGAGTACATAGGCATATGCAACAGTTTGGTAAATTATCTTAGAAATAGGTTGAGTATTTTATTAAGTTATAAGTGGTACATACATTCTTGTGTATATATCAAATGTAACATTTGGGAGTCACCTTTTAGGAAGACAATAAAGCATTAATATCTTTTCTCACATTTTTTATTTAAATTCAATTAACGTATAATGTATTATTGGTTCCAGAGGTACAGGTCTGTGATTCATCAGTCTTATATAATACCCAGTGCTCATTACATCACATGCCCTCCTTAATGTCCATCAAAGCATTAATATCTTGATATAGCTATATTTCTGTTGTTTGTCTCATTAGTGTTTCTTGATGAATAGCTAAAGAGAGAGTAACCATTATTTATTGCAGCACCTCCTTATAACACAGTTCTGTCATGTCTTCAGTCTTATCAGTAAAGTCCTTTTAATTCTTTAAACAGTCCCTGTATAACAAATAGTATCATGCATATTTGAGCTGTAGGAGACCTTCCCTTAGATCATCCAGTCCTGGGTCATGAACTGACTGCCCTTGGTGGGATCCACAGATGTATTCTCAATTGCCATTGGTTTAAAAAAATTTTTTAGTGCTGTTAGGCAAGAGAGATGCCATTCCTTTTGCCAGACTCCCATCACTCCCTAATGTGTACATTCTGTCCAGTTAATCAATTTATTATCTGCTGACCCTTGTGAGCATTTGAATTATGAATAAACCCCTGAACTAGTCCAACCTCCCTCCCTTGTTTTACAGATAAAGAAACTAGCCAGAGTCCAGTGTATGTGTCAAGAGCTTATGGGGATTTTGGTTTTGTTGTCTGCCTGATCGTTTCACGCCAGCATGTTCCTTAATATAATGTAAGGATGTCTATTAATACCTTGGTATTGTGAAAAATGTTTGTGGCTATACTCCTCCAAAGTGAAAATGAAATTAACTGGGGCATATGATTTGATATATAAACAATTTACATACAAGTTTTAGAAATGCAGATAATACAGAAAGCGAACATTCGGGTTAGCCCTAATAGAAGCTGTTTAAATGTTTTCTTGGGCCCTTAAAAAGTACAGGTCTTGGAGCACCTGGGTGGCTCAGTTGTTAAGCATCTGCCTTCGGCTCAGGTCATGATCCCAGGGTCCTGGGATTGAGCCCCGCATTGGGCTCCCTGCTCCGCAGGAAGCTGCTTCTCCCTCTCCACTCCCCCTGCTTGTGTTCCCTCTCTCACTGTCTCTCTGTCAAAAAATAAATTAAAAAATCTTAAAAAAAAAAAAAAAAGTACAGGTCTTGGCTTAAGTCCTATATTTGGAATATTTATATAAAAACACAGTTAAATATTTTGGCCTGTCTTTTACAGCACAATGTTAGAGGTGTTGTATCTATGGCTAATAACGGGCCAAACACCAATGGATCTCAGTTCTTCATCACCTATGGCAAGCAGCCACATTTGGACATGAAATACACAGTATTTGGAAAGTGAGTATTTTGGTTACTGTTTTCTTTGGAATTTCATTGCAAGGGATGCATATGAGAGGCTATGATAATAGCGTTAATACTGAAGGAGCGGTAGGAAAGCTAAATACACCTGGTAAGTTCACCACTTACCAGCACTGCGACCTTGGGAACTTATAACCTTTTCAAGCCTTAATGTCTTTATTTTGTAAAGTAGGAGCCAATCTTTTTTTTTTGAGGATTATTATGCAAATTAACAGTAATGTATTTCTTATGAATAGCATTTTGCAGCAACTGATCTGAAAAACAGTGGCTTCAACAAGATGGGCTTAGATGGTGGTTCGCTTCTGTCACCAGTGTTCTTCCTAAACCATTTTTATCTTCCATCCTCATGCTCACCTCATGGTCATAATATGGGCAGCATAGCTCCAGTCAGAAAGTGTTCCAGGCAGAAAGGAGGAGGAAGGGCAAGAGGTGCTTGCCAGCTGAGTCAGCCCTATTTATGTATGTATATATGTATGTATGTATATATTTAGTAGGCTCCACAAGTCAGCCCCTTTTTAAAGAGCTTTCCTAGAAGACCCAGAACTTAGCAATGAGGCCTCCCCTTATCTACAAGGGAGGGTAGGAAATGTTTTTCAGCTAGACACATTGCCGCTCTCAATAAAATCAGGTTTCTAGGAGTAAGAAGGGGAGCCTGGATCCTAGGGAGGTGTTTAGCAGGTTCTGCCAGAATATCCACTGTTAGCACTATGCCTGGGAATTGCTTTTATAAATCAGCAAGAAGTCAGCTTGTCTGTTCATTCAACAAATATTTACTATGCTCAATAAACCAAGGCACAGTTCTAGAGTTTCTTTCACTTAACAGTGTGGATGCCAAGTTAGGTTAATTAAAAATAGAAGACTCAACAACTCTTAGTTTTCATTCCATATGTATATATATATATGTCTAATTTATAGATTAATATTCAGTGAAATTAATGAAATATTACAGCTTCTAGTAGTAATGGCCTGGATCACTCAGGTTCCCTTCTTTTCATTTTCTCCTTTAACCCACCATTCAGAATTATCAATCATTAATTACTAAGATTTATGTTACTAGTTTTGTGACAGAACTAGAGAGTTAAGAACAAAGATTCTTAACCTTAGGTCCCTTAAGTCCTTGAAATTATGTGTTCTCTGTGTATACACACATGTTTTTCTGGGAAGATGGTAAATAGCTTTCCATTTGTTCTCAAAGGGGCCCGTGTCCCAAATACTTGACTGACTTGCCTCAATTCTACATGCCCTTTTTTGCCTGAGATCTGTTTCCTATAGCCTGTTTTCTCTTACTGACCCAGAAGGTGGGAAGGGTTTTGAAACTTAAAATTTAAAGACTTTGGTGGGGGGCGCCTGGGTGGCTTAGTCCATAAAGCAACCAATTCTTGATTTTGGCTCAGGTCGTGATCTCGGGTTCCTGGGACGGAGCCCAGTCTGCTGGAGTTTCTCTCTCCCTCTCCCCTCACTCACATGCTCTTTCACTTGCTCTAAAATAAATAAATATATAAATAAATAAAGCAAGCCACCTTTTCTTTGCAAATGTTTTAGACCAACTTGCCCGAAGAATAACTGTCTATATATTTCTTTTTCTTTGTAGTAACATGAAATACACTTGCTGGAAATGGGCTTAAGTGTCCCATCTTCCCTTCTCTTATTATTACTGCTTTTTGTTGTTGCCCAGATGCAAAAAGTAAAAACACATTTAAACAATAAAGTGTAAAGCTGCCACTCACTTCAGGACCTTTAGTATAGGGCAGTACTAAGCAATAAGTGTCACCCTTAACATACTTTCTCTGGGCTTTCTGATAGCAAAAAAAATCTTATGACTGGTTATGTTAGACCCATTTGTAGCTATGCTGTGGGAGTACTTTGGTGGTAATATTCCTACCCATTGCTATTGTCTAAAGGCATAAAAATGAATTTTTTTTTCTGAATTTTGGCTCATATCCATGGTAGAAAATCAATTCGGGAATTCAAAGAACTATGAGACATGGTCCTTTTCTCTTAAGGAAACTGTAATTGCTATAGGTATTTGGATACTATGTTTCAATCTAAGGAAATTTTCATGCATTTTTATTGTTTCTATTTCAGGGTAATAGATGGTCTGGAGACTCTGGATGAATTGGAGAAGTTACCAGTAAATGAGAAGACCTATCGACCTCTTAACGATGTACACATTAAGGACATAACTATTCATGCCAATCCATTTGCACAATAGCAGTAATCTGGAAAAATATTTGGCAGACTATTCAAGGAACACACCTACTGTGGTTTACCCAGTTTTAATTATGTTCAAAGATTACATCATCCTTCTTGTTTATAGCTAAGATCTTCTATGAGTTGGTGGTACCATGGGGGCCCAAACAGCTTTTATTCCCATTATTAAAGCATATTTTTTATTAAACTATTACCTAATGTATTTAAGTTTAATTTTCTTAAAACTCTTCTAATTTTTTTGTTACATATAAGCATTCATTTTTAAATGCTGAGTCTCAAATCCAGGCATTTTTGAGCACTCTAATTACATATTCCTGCCATATCTAGTCCATGTTCTAGAAGTAGTCTTTTCCATTTAATTATTCACTTTGTACAGTTAGGAGTAAGGACAAGATAGAGATCATCTAGAAAAGCCAGCCAATCCATTTTGCTATTTTCTGTAGTCTTCAGATTTACAGTAAAGGCTCAGAGAAGTCCTAGAGTACAGTAAGCACTCAGAATTTCCCAACTCATTTGCCCATGGAACATTTTTGAAAGCTTATCATTTACAGTACTGCAGGATAGAATACTACAGGTGATCCGTTTGGAAAATGCAATTAGTTGGTTAAGAGCACCAGTTGTGGAGTCCTGGATTGTGTTTGAATCACAGTACTAGTACCTTTAGGCAGGTTAACATCTCCCAAGTTTTCTCATCCCTAAAGACTCATCCCGCTTGTAAGAGTATTACAAGGATTAAATGAAACAATGTGTGTAAAGCTTCTGACATGTATTAAGTGTTCTGTAGTGAGTAAATGGAAGCACCTCTCCTAACCTTTCTCCACCACAGCGCTCTCACCGAATTAGGCCTCATCATTTATCAGGCGATACCATTGATCTCATCAAGAACCATATTCTTCAAACTGCTTTGATCACCTTGATTAGATTTTGGTTATTTCTTGGTTTGTATCATTTCTGTAGATAGCTGATCTAAATATTTTCTTTCTTAACTACAATTTGGATGTTAGCTTGCAATATCCTCTTATTACCATCTATACCTTCTACTAAACCGATGTGCCAATTATACTAATATCCTCACTTCTGTTTTTTAAAATGAGCTCTGTGCCCAATGTGGGGCTTGAACTCACAACCCTAAGATCAAGAATTGCATACTCTGCCTACTGTCAGCCAGGTACCCCTAATGCCTTCACATTGTGATTCAGCCTTTTAATTTAATCATTTGGATTTCTAGACTTAATATTAAAGCCTCTTTTGGGCAGAATTTGTTTTGACACTTATACCTGGTATTTTTCTTTTCCAGTGAATGACAACTGAAATTTTTTGTCATTATTATTAAGAGGCTTTTACTGATTGTCAAGATGTTTTTGTACTGACTGGCATTCCCTCAGTTTTTCTTCCAAACTCTGCCTTTGTTTTTTTAAGTGTTACCAATATGGTGGGTTTTTTGGTTTTTAGAGCTCATTCTTACAATGTCTGTTCAGTTATAGCCATAAAGATCTCCGAGACAGACTGGCTGCCCACCTTGGGCCTATTGGAGGCATCATGAGGATCAAAATCCTAACACTGTTTTCTGTCCACTCACACTGAGTTGACGACTGGTTCACACTGATCACATTTGGCAGTTGCATGCTTGATGTTCTGTTCCATTTATTAATTGGCAGTACACATAAACTAAGAAGACTGGAATATTGTTGATCAACCAAATTCTCTTTAAAAAGAGAGTAATATGGCTCCCGATTTGGACCAGAGGTTAGCAAACTACAGCCCTCAGGCTGGCCACCTGTTTCTGCAAATAGTCTTCATGGAACTCAACCATGCCCATTTTGTTTGTGTTTTCTGACTGCTTCGTGCTACAACAGCAGTATTGATTGGTTGTGACAGAGACTAAAGGTCTACAAGCCTAAAATATTTACGATCTTGCCCTTTAAGAAAATTTGCTAATCTTTGATCTAGAATATCAGAAGTTGCCAGAAAATCATGGTTTCATAGCAAAGGGAGCTTGATAAGCTTAAGGGATAGATTCAATATATGCCTTGATAGTTCCTTCACCACTCTAAAAATGTACCTGCACCTATCCATTAGAATACCTAAATCCTGTTAGATCTTGGTTTGGAGCTCTTTGAAGACAGCTCTTTTTTTTTTTTAAGATTTTATTTATTTATTTGACAGTAAGAGAGCACAAGCAGAGGGAGACGGAGAAGCAGGCTCTCCACTAAGCAGGGAACCCCATACGGGGCTCAACCCCAGATCCCTGGGATCATGATCCGACCCAAAGGCAGATGCTTAACCCACTGAGCCACCCAGGCGCCCCAAGACAGCTCTTTGTGTAGGCCTTTGGTTAATGGTGAATTGAATAGTTACAATTTATACTTTGGTTAAACTTGGTATTTCCAAATCCGTTTAGCAACATATAAGCTATGTTGGGTATTTCTAAAGATACATATTCTCATCTTTTTGTTGAAAAACTAAAACCAGGGGTGCCTGAGTAGCTCAGTCAGTTATGCGTCTGCTGCCTTCGGCTCGGGTCATGAACCCAGGGTCCTGAGATCGAGCTCTGTGTTGGGCTCCCTGCTTAATGGGGAGCCTGCTTCTCCCTCTGCCTGCTGCTCCCCCTGCTTTGCTCAAAACTAGTAAGTAATTTATTTTCTTCCAGGCTTGGATATAAAGGTGCATAGAACACTGCTTATTCCATGGGAGTGCACTCTAGGAAGCTAACATATATAAATAGATAAATTTTAATACATAGGACTCAACTTTTTTTTTTTAAGATTTTATTTATTTGAGAGAGCACGAGAGGGAAGAGGGTCAGAGGGAGAAGCAGACTCCCGGCTGAGCAGGGAGCCAGACGTGGGACTCGATACTGGGACTCCAGGATCATGACCCGAGCCAAAGGTAGTCGCCCAACCAACTGAGCCACCCAGGCGCCCAGGACTCAACTTTTAATCAGTTTAGCAAACTGGATAGATTACTGTAGTTACTATTTCACTAGTGAATTTAAACAAAAACTGATAGCTCCTTTCAATTCAATTTGTACGAACTATAGAGGTAGGGATGGGAACTCAATATTATAACTAAAGCAAATCTAGAATAAACGATAATGTGAAGTTTTAAAAACATTACAACGAGGGGCATCTGACTGGCTCAGTTGGTGGAGCATGAAACTCCTCATCTCGGGGTTGTGGGTTCGAGCCCCACATTGGGTGTAAAGACTACTTAAAAAAAAAACATGGGTGCCTGGGTGGTTCAGTTGGTTAAGCGTCTGCCTTCAACTCAGATCAGGATCTTGGGGTACTGGGATAGAGCCCCACATCGGGCTCTCTGCTCAGCAGAGAGTCTGCTTCTCCCTCTCCCTCTGCTCTCTCTCTCAAGTAAATAAAAAATCTTAAAAAAATAAAGCAGTATCCAAAAGCATTAAAAAGAAAAGTTATTTCATAAACTGTGTTCGTATAACCAGTAAATTATATGGAGTTAGTATAACCAGTAAATTATACGGAGAAAAATAGCAAAATTCCAGATGCCTAAAAAAAAAAAAAAGGAAAAAACATCTCTGAGGAGGAAAGAATTTCTCAGTTTACAAACATGACAAAGGTAAAGATGGAACAAGTTTACATGAAAACTGAAAACTTTCTTGCAATAAAAAAACTTCAAGGACAAATGAGAACTGTATATTCAAAAAAGCAATGAGGTATGAATGGGCAAGTAATGAGAAAAGGGAAAACGTTCAACTTCACTAATTAGGGAACTAAGTTGCAAGTTTCCTCCAAAATACCATTTTTAAATCTTTGCACTATATTAGTTTGTTAGGGTTGCCATAACAAAGTACCAGAAATTGGGTAACTTAAAATTCTGTTACACAGACTAGAAGTTAGAAGATCAAGGTGTGGGCAGGGTTGTTTACACTAAGGTCTCACTTTGGCTGGCAGATGACCCTTCTATCTTGACACAATCTGTGAGTGCCTGTGTCCTAATCTCTTTAAAGAGAAAGATCAGTCATATTGGTTTAGGACCCACCCTAATGACCTCATTTTAACCTTAAGTACGTCTGTAAAGGCCCTACAAATAAGTCACAATCTGAGGTAGTGGGGGTTAAGACTTAAACATGAATTGGAGGGACATAGTGCCACCCCAAAACAACCAATAACATGCACTAAAGAACACACAAAATAATTTCATAAATGAAACTTTGGGTAAATACCAAGTTAGCAATTGGTTAGGTAGGAGGGTATGCTAAATTTTTTTTCTAATTTTATTTATTTAGTTGGCAGCACAAGCAGGGGGGAGCAACGGGGGCAGAGGGAGAGGGAGAAGCAGGTCCTCGCTGAGCAAGGAGCCCGATGTGGGGCTCGATCCCAGGACCCTGGGATCATGACCTGAGCTGAAGGCAGATGCTTAACCGACTGAGCCACCCAGGTGCCCTAAGGGTTTGCTAAATTTAAAACCATTTTGGAAACTAATTTCGGTAGTATATACAAGACTTTTCCAATGTTCATTGTCTTTCACCCTTGTAATCTTACTATGGGGATTTCTAAATTGCTCTCTGTAATCCTTCACTGCAACTTTTACCTGTAATAGCAGAATATAGTTGATGCCCATCTCCTAGATTGTTAGGATTGAGAACGTTTGTACAGTGCTTAGCACAATAACTAGCTCACTATGATTAGCTATTATCCTCCAAAGATGGGGGTTCCCTAGGTTTGCTTAACATTTAAAGGTGCTAAATGCATCCTGAATTTCACAAGTTACTGTGAATTTATGAATATTATGAATCTCTCCCTCTGAAATATTTACCTTCTATTTGGTGACCCTGGCCCCAATATAAAGATTTAAGTATTAATGGTTTTATAAGTATTGTTTTTAAAACCACTGAGAGAAGGGGCTTAAACGCAAACTACCATAGAAATTTTAAGAAATACGTATTCCTCATCGCTTCTTACCCAATAATTGTGCATCTGTGTAGGGCTGGCTACGTATGTTGCTCTCCTGTGCAAGTGTGAACAGCAAAATTTTGCTTAGTTGTAATGTTTAATTTTATACGTTTTCCACTAAGTTTGGAATGAGCAAGCGAGACAAAATGGAGGAAGGGCGTGGGGTCAGGATTGGCAATTACACTGGTGTATTAAAGGGTAGCTTGAGGATTTTGTTGTTCAGAGGTTGTTCCTGACACTTTTTCTTCACTACCTTCCATTTCCCCTTTTAGAGTTCATCTGGCCTTGCTGCAGAGCACTGACTTAATGCCAAAATGTTAACTATGAAGGGTCCCCACTTCCTGTTTCCTACCTCTTGCTCACTCGTTTCTTCAACTTTTAAAACCTCAGTCGTTAAGCATCTGCCTTCGGCTCAGGTCATGATCCCAGGGTCCTGGGATCAAGCCCCGCATCAGGCTCCCTGCTCAGCGGAAAGCCTGCTTCCCCCTCTCCCACTCCCCCTGCTTGTGTTCCTCTCTCGCTGTGTCTCTCTCTGTCAAATAAGTGAATAAAATCTTAAAAAAAAAAAAACCTTGAGAAAAATCTTTCCAATCCAATTTCAGTGTGAGTCCCAACCACTAAAGACTTAACTAGTTTTAAATAGGTCTCAGAACCTTAGCAAAAGCCGAAATCCAGACAATTACTAATTTACAGCTACACGATGGAGGTGATCAGGGCACAGGCTATTAGTATCATGCCTTCCTCACTTTTTCTTGTACCCAGCGTTCCCAAGTACCACTTTTAAAGAGCACGTTCGAGACTCCTCTCCCCATTACTTACATTATTTCCTCAGACCTA